TGTCAATCTCAAATCCAGGGCGATGCGCTCCTCCCGAGGGCCATGGGCTGTTGGCTCTTAACGAGGGCACGGCGCGATAGCCGGGCGATCAGCAGCACGACCATTCTCACTCGGGCCTCTGTTTTAGCACAACACTGGCTCCTGTTTACCTCGGTGTGATCATTATAACTTTAACCTCTGCTTTGTGCTAAAGTTGAATTCGCATTGCATCATCTGCGGACACACTTCACAGACGGACAGAGATAATTGATTAACGCCTTCAACCTAAGTTGCAAATTGTAAAACAAAATCTCCCAAAGTACACGGAGCAATACATTGGTAGACACTGTGCCTCTTTCCCATAGTTGCCCCTCCAGAATAACAAAAAAACACGTATTTTGTATACATCCCATCAGCCGCACGGCCTTCTGAAACTGTATACGATGTTTGTATGTTTGACTTATTTGGTATCGTAAGTGGTCAACCGTGCTAATCGCAGGTGCGGGGGAAGGACAGAAAACTAAAGCACATTCAACGCAAGCAAAATTCTGGACCGGTTTCAACATTCAGTGTCTCATCAGCAGGGTCAGGCTCGCTTAAGCAGTGCTGTTCAACTGCCCGGTGTCCCCTCCGTATCCAGCGCGTGCAGGGCCCGCGCGGCGCTGCCGGACCCGCGGGGGGCTCCCCCCCCCCACCCTCTCCGCCCCCACACCGCCCTCACCCCCCATGGGCCTCCCAAGTCGCGACTTCTCGCCGTGACCCGCGCCCCTTGCTCACATCCCTGGCATTTCCACCGCTATTATTAAACTGCTCTGCCACCCGACACCGCCTGGTCCCCTCCCCACTTGCGTTGCCGGCAGCCGCCAGCCAATTTGAGCAACAACCCCCACCCCGTGTTCACCCCCCGCCCGCGTGTTCAAGGGGACCGACCCAGCGGTGGCGCACAGATTCACTGCTGGTAGCTACGGGGCCTCGTCGGTGGCCGCTGGAGAGAGGGTGACGCGGGGCGCTTGGGTCACTGGGGCCCGGGGGGGGACAGCAGTGATGTGGCGTGACTGGTGATGGTTCCAGCCCGATCACCAGTGACTCACGCAGAGATCCATAGGCTAGCATAGAGGCGCGTAGACTCACACGAGGACGGTATGGGCCTCGGCGCAAGGAGTTAAGTTCATCCCCCGTGTTATTTTGCTCCCCTTTTCATATCCCAGTGTCTGGAACCCCAACCCCCATCTGGTTCCTGTGATCTGGTGCAGCTGCACAGCCTGCACACTCGATGCTGCTACATGAGTAGTGTGAGTCGTGAGCAGGCGCGGGGGTCCCGCCATGCGGGACGCGTTAAAGGCACAGGGACGAAAGGAGACAGAAAGGGAGAGAGAGGGCGAGCGGCTGAGAAGGTGGGAGAGGAGGGAGTTCATGAATCTGGCAGGTGAGCGCGCAAAAGGCTACCATGTGATTGCTACAGAGGCGCGGGTCCGCGTGCGCGCACAACAAAGCCAACAACAGCGACAACAGCGGCCGATGTGTTCCCCTCTCTTCCTCAACGCCCCCCCCCCTCGTCCCCCACCCCTCTCCCCCTCGTCCTCCACACGCGGCTTCACCGATCGTCCCGTGCAGGTGAAGTTCCCCCACTTGACCTCAGGCCCGTGCGACCCCAGTGACCAGGGCCAATGGTAAGGAAATGTTGCCACTGACCACAGAGCCGTGCCGTGGACTCGTGTGACGTAGACGGCGAGACGACTGGCCGGCCTGGAAGAATGGGCCACGTTACCATCTAGAGGGGCTCTCTCGAACGGCCTCTAGAGCGATAAACTTCAGGGCTGCGCCCTTAGCTCTACCCGTCCTCTCACACCGAGTATCCCAGTGGCCTGGCTATCGCGTGCGCAGGCGGTGCAGCTGCCACAGGGCCCACGGGCTCGACGAGGGGACGAGGCGCCACTGCCATGTCAGCTCTCTATGTGAGTCTATGGGTCTCTATGTGAGTCTATGGGTCTCTATGTGCGTCTATGGGTCTCTATGTGAGTCTATGGGTCTCTATGTGAGTCTATGGGTCTCTATGTGAGTCTATGGGTCTCTATGTGAGTCTATGGGCCTCTATGTGAGTCTATGGGTCTCTATGTGAGTCTATGATTCCCTATCCATGGTCCCTATGTCAGTCTTTGTGTCTCTATGTGAGCCTGTTTTCCAGGACACAACAAACAGTCGCAGCGATGAACACGCATCTGCTATAATTCTCGTTCTCATTGAATATCTCTCGCCATGTGGAGACTTAACAGCGGACAAATTCGCATCAACAACACTGCGTTCTTTCCTTGTCGCGCAAACCGTGATAATTGCCCTTACCAGCGACTCCTCCTCACCCACAGCCACCACCAGCACCGTCATCATTGTCACATCTGCGCTGGGCACGGGATAAGGAGGCGAGGTACCTGAGCTGATTAATTTTTCACGGAGCTGCAGGGCGCAAGACAATGGAGGAGCGTGGAAAGAGCCCGCGGCCAGAACAATGGCGGCAGAACAATAGCGGCGACACCTGTCCGCTCGCCACCGCCGCCACCACCACTCCCACCGCTCCCTTCGTTACACGGCCCTCATCACCGACCCACACTGAGGCTCGCTGATGAGGGCTGCGTTCTGCAGAAGTTCAGGGCGCAGCCACTGGATCGCGACAGCAACCTATATCAACAACTACTACCGACAACAACTACCAACAACAACATCCACTACCAATAGCCACTACCAACAATTACTACTAACGACAACTACATATACCAACAACCACAACAACAACCACTAACAACAACCACGAACAATTGCCGAGAGTGGTCTAAAAGTATTGATTTAAAACCGACAACCACAAACCATAACCACCAACATTGACAACACACCACCACCACCAAAAGTAGACAACAACCACCCACCAACATTTATCAACCACCAAAAGTGATGAACACACACGAGTGGTAAAACACCAATCACCACCACCAACCACGACCACCACCACCTCACCTGGCCCCGCGCTGCTGCTGTGGCGAGCGCGGCGCTGTCTGTCCACTCTCTGCGTGAGCTCTGCGCTCTTCTCAGCTCTCGTCAGCTCTTCTCTCCCAACTGTCCAGAAATGTATAAAACCCCCCTCTGCTGCCTCTGCTGCTGCTGCCTCTGCTGCTGCTGCCAAAACGGCAAATTCAGCTGTGACAGCCGCCCCGGCTCCGGGGAGGGGGTATGGGGTGCAAGGGGGTGAGGCTTGTGGAGGGTGGGGGCAAAGGGTGGGATTCTGGGTGATGGACACGTGCTCACGGGGGTAAAGATTCAGCCACTCATCCTACCCACATCTCCCCCCCCCCACACCGATTCTTTCCGTGTTACGATTCAAGAATCGATGTCGATGTCTCGTTCGGGATATCTCTCTGCTACGTGGTGATCAGCAGAGGGCGGTACAGAAACGTTTCCCTTGTTGTGCTGTGACGCTATGCTCCCAAGTCCATGCTGCTCGCCTTTCACCAACCAACTCGCACTGACCAGCGTGGTGAATTATGGTCAAGTACCCCCCCCCCCTCCCTACGACTCGCACGGCGTGGTCTGGCTCTCATCCAGCATTCTGTCTGTCTCGTTTGTATTGTTCTTCTCGTTTGAATTGTATCATCCGTATTGTTCTTCTCGTTTGTATTGTCTGTCTCGTTTGTATTGTCCGTTTCGCTCCATTAGCCTGAACGTAACATTTGCAAATAATTTGCAGACAATTTACATACATCTTAAATAATCGATTCCTGTACACGCGATTCGATGTGTGTGCTTCGGACGTAACAATCGATTCCCATCGATTTTTGGTGGCAGGGTCGAGTCGAGGAATGTGGAAGCCGGCACGCGTGGTGAATGAGACGCAACAGCTGCTCTGGAAATGAACGCTGCAGCCAATCTGCGCTGCTTGTGGCACCTAGAGGCCGGTGTAATGGGCAGCCGGAATCGTCCGGAGCATCGTTCCGATGATCATTTAGCACGCCGGGTCCATCTCGCCAAAACCTCTTCACCGCACGATGGGGATACAGAGTACAACAATAATAGGGGGTCGTTATGGACAGACGTCCCATGCACTCTCGTGGTGGTGCCTTACGCCGATGATCCCTACTCCAAGCCAGCTCCAGCAGCGATCTGGAACATAGCGAGTGACAAATTCATCGCTGGGGATTCGGGTTGGGTAAGAAGAAATAAAGTTCCGGCTAGATCGTTGGGTTATATTTAAGGGTTATATTAGGGTTCGGGTTAGTGAATATGAATCTTGATTTGAAGCTTTCGTGACTGCAGGAATCAATACTCTTTGGTTCTTTCGGTAAAGTCACGTAGGTAGAAAAATAATAGATCGCAACACAAGCAATCGTCATCAGGTGGGACAACCACAGCAAGAAAAAAAACTTCTGAAGTAATTAAAAAAACTGCTGAAGTAATTCAGCAGTTTTTTCTGACAAATTCATCGCTGGGGAAAAAACTTCTGCACTATCAGAGCAGTAGTGTGACCCGAACCTCAGCCTCCTCTCAGACCCCCTCGGGAGGGGTGTGGGGGCTCAAGGGCCAAGAAGTCCGAATAACTCAGGGGTCCTGGGGTTTTCAGCTGGGATTCCGCGAGGCACCGATCCCGTCTCTGCGCGGCGCGGGATGCGGTATCGGATTTCCCGGGGGGTCGCGGCTGTGCGATGACTTCTCCTGTCAAGCGACGGCATCGCAGCGGTAACGGGGAGGGGGAGCTGGGTGGGGGGGGGGGGGTGGAGGGGGGCGGGGTGAGGGGTCCGGAGGTGAGGACGGCAGAGGAGGGGGGGGGGGCATCGAGCAGCGTGGGCAGGAAGGCAGCGAGCGTCCTTCTGTCAACGAGCAGTGGACCCTACTGGACTGGGTCAATGTAGAACAGTCGTCACAGTTGTCTGGGAAGATTCAGTCGGGCCAATTGACCCCCCCTCCCCCCCCCCCCCTCTGTGTCCCCTACTATGGCCCCCCGCCCCTGGAGGTGGAGACGCCCTCCATGACTCCCTTACCTGCTCCTCCAGGGGTTCTGGCTCCTCCAGGGGGTTCCACTCAGCGTGCTCGCGGACCAGCGCGCTGACGAGCCTGTGGAGGAAGCAGAGGTGCGGGTTGCTCCATTCTCACCGCCGCGTGCTCCAGGCCCAACCCAACGCGCTCCACGACGCGCACGTGGAGCGGTGATCCGTGACGCGCGTCGGCGGGTCGCCGCCTCGTCCGCCACTGATCCTGCGACTCCACTCGCGGTAGTCCTGCAAGCCTCGTGATGGAACTGGCCACCGTCGTGTTCACAGTGGAGCCACGGTAAAAGCCATCCAGTTATTGTCCGCGGCGCTCGTCCGGGAATAGCGGAGCTCAGGCGCGAGTCGTTAAACACACAGGGAGCGCGACGCGCAGGAATTCACGAAACATTTCCGACGCCTCCCCCCTCCTCCATCGCTCTGCGCCCCCCCCCCCCCCCCCCACTGCCATCCGCTCGCACCCTCCTAACCCCTCCCCCCGTCAGCGGCCGCTTTGTGATGCGGACAGCAGGAAGGGGGGTGGAGGGGGATGGAGGGGGGTGGACGAGGATGGAGGGGGTGGAAGGGGGTGGAGGGGGATGAAGGGGGTGGACGAGGATGGAGGGGGATGGAGGGGGATGGAGGGGATGGAGGGGTGGAGGGGGGTGCTGCTGAACTCGAGCCAGGGTCCTCATCGCCGGGGGTCGCTGAGACGCGCAACGTGGACGGACGCGGAGGAGCGATCGGGACGGTGGAGCTACGGGCGCCTCCGAGCGCCCAGGGGAGTTGCAGGCGAATGTTGTCCCCAGATCGCCAAGAGACAACGCCTCTTGCCAGATACACAGCACAGAGGAGGTGGGGGCCTTGTTGGCCCGGGGGGTGGGGGTCTGGGGGTGGGGGCCCCGCGTTCCCAGGCGGTCGGGTTACAGTGCGCGGGCACAGAGGGGCCTTTCTCCACCGGGCACGGACTCGTAGCGCCGTAGCTTCCCCTCTCTCTCCCTAGAGAAGGGGCTCTTTCAGGAGGGGTTTGGTAGTAGGGGGGGGGGGGGGGGGTCTAGGGGTTGAGGGACGGGGGGGAGTGAAGAGGAGAGGGGCTCTCTGGTCAGCGAGTCGCTGCACGCTCGCCACTCCACGCGCAGACTGTGCCATTCGCTTCCGTGCTACCGCGTCACACGTCAATAGCACCGGGGCTCTAAAGGAAAATAAAACACATGCTAGACAACATTTCGGGCAATGGCCCTTCTTCATAACACAGAAGCGTCAATACCCGAAACGTAACCTCGTGTGTATTTTCTCTCTGTTTAGGCCACGGTGTTATTGACGAATGTGTTGAGTTTGATTTTATTAGTGTTATAATTATTAATTGTGCTTTTGCACAATCGCCAACGCAGCGGCGGCAGCAGCTTCTCACCAAACAATTCGCTTCACAGGCGGTGGGAGTTGAACAGGGACCGGCATCTCCAGCGCCTGCAGGTGGGTTGGGCGTTCGTTCGGGGTTGGGGGCTCTGAAGCGGCGTCAGAGCCGCAGCCTTCCTGGGGCTCGCTCCGTCGGGAACGGCACCGGCCACGAGGCCTGCGGCAGCAGCAGCAGCAGCGCCGCCGCTTCCCCTGGAAGCTCCTGGGACGCTTCGCTTCGTTTACCCCCCCCCGCCCCGCGCCACCTGGCGCCCTCCGCACCCCGCAGCGTGCTCTTGATGGCTTGGGGAGGCCTTCATCTAGCAGTGGATAGCTCTTAATTGCTGATGCTACGACTGCTGCTGACACGTCACGTCATTGTCTATCCACTGCTGGTCGAAAGCCTCCCCGAGCCGTCGCCACCCCTAACGCGTCCCAGGGCTGCTGCCATCCATCTCACTCCTGCGCGTGAACCAATCTTATCGCTCCATCTCCGCGACGGCCGTCTCCTCGGGAGCGGTCTTTCTCCTTCGGCTGCCACTCGTGCCCTCGCGGGAGCGGGTTGGGAGTCGGAGTCATTGGCAGGAACGCGCGGAGTCGTCACGCGCACTCGCGGAGTCGTCACGCGCACTCGCGGAGTCGTCACGCGCACTCGCGGAGTCGTCACGCGCACTCGCGGAGTCGTCACGCGCACTCGCGGAGTCGTCACGCGCACTCGCGGAGTCGTCACGCGCACTCGCGGAGTCGTCACGCGCACTCGCGGAGTCGTCACGCGCACTCGCGGAGTCGTCACGCGCACTCGCAGAGTCGTCACGCGCACTCGCGGAGTCGTCACGCGCACTCGCGGAGTCGTCACGCGCACTCGCAGAGTCGTCACGCGCACTCGCGGAGTCGTCACGCGCACTCGCGGAGTCGTCACGCGCACTCGCGGAGTCGTCACGCGCACTCGCGGAGTCGTCACGCACTCGCGGAGTCGTCACGCGCACTCGTGCAGTCGCGTGCGCGCGCGTTACCCGAGTGGTTACCCCAGCGGAGACGCGATTGCGTGGTAACCCCGATCAGATGTTATCACCCGCCGCTCTGTGTCTGTGTCATCATAGTCCAAAAACGACAGAATGGGGAGGGGGGGGGGGCTCATCTTTATTGACGGCTCTCTGAGCCAGCGATGGAAATTCCACATTCGCATGGCGGGCAATGGTCCACACGCAGAAGCGACCACTGCTGACGTGACACGGAGCGGGGATCGCTGTTCGGAAACTCGTGGGACGTTGCCGACGCAAAGTACACGCGCGCGAGTGTTTAGAACGCTACGCGTGACAGTCGAAGCGTCGAAGTTTGCGCGCGACTACGGAAGAAGTCACGCCGCCCATTGAACTCCGAAAAACATGTGCAGGGATGAATTTACTGCGGGGAACGCCGCGAATCCGCGTGCGAGGTAAATCGGTCCGAGTTGTTGAGAATCGCAAAACTCACACCTAGCCGTGGATACGCGGAGTCCGCGGCGGGAGGAGTTTGGGAGCTCCCCATCCCCTCCTCCCCGACTCCTTGACCCCCGCTTACCTGTACAACGCGACCCCGTCCCGCAGCGCGCAGCGAAGATCCACGCCTTCCAAGCTGACCCCCGTCACGGCCTGGGAGACCGCGCCGGGCAGCGGGGAGGGAGGCGCAGCGGGTAAGGGGATGGAGGCAGGCACCGGGGCGCGGGCAGCAGGGAGGAGGGGAGGGCGCGCACACATCGCTTCATTATTCAGGGCGCTCTCGCTCGTCAGCGCGCGGATCGGGTGTCCGGCGCGCTCCCGACAAAGCGGTGCGACAGCGGCAGCAGCACCGGCACCACCTCCCGCCCGCCCGCCCGCCCGCCACGCTCACCTCGACCCAGCGCCAAGCTTCCTCCGCCGCAGCGCGGATCCGGGAATCCCGGCGGGTTTCCTGCGAAGCCATCGGGGGGTGCACGGGGCGAGGGGCGGCCAGGATGGGGGGGGGGGGTCGCTCGGGACTTGACGTTCACGCCTCGCCCGCGCTCCGTCTCCTCCGTGGCAGTGCGCGCGCGGCGCGGCTCCAACCTCCCCGGTGTGGAGGAGCAGTGGCCCGGGGGTAGCTAAGGGGCTCGTCCCCCCCACTTCCCTCGATCTCTACCTCCGCCCCACCCTTCTCCTCGCCAGGCTTTGCTCTCACATGTGTTGGGACCCCCCCGTCGAGTCGCTGCTGCCCCCGCGTCGCTGGGGGGATGAGCCGACCTCGCGCGCCGCTCGCACTCCGCGCATGCGCATCGCGGCGCTGCTCTCTGAGAGGCAACAACGCAGGAGAGGAGCAGTGGGGCAGAGAAGTTGAAGTCGGGGGAGAGGGAGGGGGGTGGCGACGTGTAGACATGCGCCTCGAGTGCCGGCCACCCACCCCCTCGTGTTCCGTGCCGGCCTTCATAGGCGCTCGCTAACAGCACTTGCCCCGAAAGGAGGTTACATCTATAAGGGGGGGATATTTGTTTTTGTTTAGTTCTGATCGGTATGGCTTCATTTTGGTGATTTCGGAAACTTTTTTTGTTTGGCCATGTTTGCTTGTTGTAATACGGAGTTAGACTGATGGCCTTAATCTAAGTTGCCTTGTGGTTGTTGTTGTTGTTTGACTTGCATCCCACTGGAAATTTTGCACACAGCGTTGGTGTACGGTGCTTTTTTTGGAATAGTTGCTGTTTTTTCCTGGATTTTCTGTTTGCACAGTCACATAGTCACTTTAAGATGTTTTATTGTTCATGTTTTTGTTTGTTGCGGTTGCACCCGATTCAACAGCCGAATGGCTCACAGGGCTATACCAGAAAAATGAAAACTGAAAGCCTTGTACACTGTCATCGTCATCATCGCTATCATCATCAACATCACATATCATTATCGCGATTGGAAATCATCAGTCGGCTATCACTTAGCCAAAAAATTATTAAAGGGTCAGTCAGCATCAATCAGTTGTTATGATCATGAATTCGTGATTATCACCCATGACATTATCATTACAGCTGTCGTCGTCATCAATCTTCAATGTCAATGGTCATCAACCTCATTACGTCATTAAACTACGCTTCGATATAAATCAATGCGGGGGTTGGGTGGAGTGGGCACTGAGGGGCGGGGTTCCCTCCACGAACTGTGAAGCGTTGATCAAAAACAGCCCCTCTCCCTGGTCCCTCCTCGTCTCCCTCTCCTGCCATCACCCCTCTCCCTCCCTCTCTCTGTCCCTCTCCCTCCCTCTGTCCCTCCCTCTCTTTTTTACGATCAGAGGAAACAAGAAGATGCTCGGTGTAGTCGGCACTTTGCTTCGTTCATCATTTAGTTTTTTTAATGCTTTGCTTTATGTAACCCCCCCCTTTTAAATGAAAGATTTCACAATAGATTTCACGCTCTGCTCTCCTTACCACTTTTCTCTCTCTCTACCCCCTCTCTCTACCCCCCCCCCCCCTCTCTCTCTACCACCTCTCTCCCTACTCCATGTCTATGTTCCCCCTATGTTTTGTATGTAATATATATAATATTATTTTATACAAATCAAAATTACGACAAGTGCTGCATCTACACCCAGCCCCGTTTCGCAGTCCTACGGCCTCCGACGGGTAGCTCAGATCTGCATGCAGAGCTTTCCGTCTTCTGCCACCGAGCACACGGCCTCCTCCAGTGCCCACTGCTCCTTGAATGCCGACACTGCGTGGGTCAGCCGCACGTTGCGGAACTCCAGCCTGTCCCTCTCCCTCTCTGTCCCTCTCCCGGCTCTCCCGGTGACGTCGTCACGTCTCGATGCACTCCGGAGCCGCCACGCGCGCTCCCTCCCTCCCCGTGGAGTCCCCGGGAAAGTTCAACCCCTGTAGACGTTCGGCCACCGCCGTGACTACAGACACGAGGCGACGTGGGGGCGAGTGGGGGATGAGTTACCCTCATATTGGCTATTGTGGATTTAGTTCCGTTTAGCTTTGTCCACGATGTTCACTCAATAACTTGTTCGTCTAAGGGCAATGCTAGTCTTTGGGCAATATTCGTCTAAGTGCAATGTTAGTCTTTGCATGTATCTTGAACTTCGTTCGCACCGTACGTAGCCAACCGTGCTAATCGGAGGTGTGGAAGTACAACACACTTTATACAAAAAGCAGTTCTAAATAAAGTAGCTTTCAATCTACGAGCAATGTTAGACTCTGGACAATGTTAGTCTATGGTCAATTCTAGTCTATGGACAATGTTAGTCTGTGGACAATGTTAGTCTGTGGACAATGTTAGTCTGTGTCTCGATTTAAGTGTTATGGGTTAGTAGATAAACCAATGGGCCTCAGTGACGTGGCGTGGCTGGCATGGGCCGAGGAGAGATGAATGCAACGGAGCCGCCTCCTGTCCGCCTGGGCCTCTCCGGTCCGTGGGTGCTGGCGCAGTTGCACCGCCTGCACACCCAGGAGCGACGCCGCGGGCTACTCCACCGTGTGCGCAGCTGGCGAGTCGTGAGCAGTCCCACCCCGTGGTCGGCAGGCGGCGGAGGAGCGACGCGTGGCGAGTCTCTCGAGTGCTCTCCGACCACCAGCGATTCGGTGGGCTCTGACGATTCATAGCTTCGAGCGATTCATCGTCATCATCTTCAGCCATGGTCAGTCCACTGCTGGATGAAGTCCTCCCCCAAGCTGTCCGCAAGTTCTCACGCAGTCCTGCGATGTAACGATCCGCCCAGCGCCTGCTCGACACACCACGATTTGATTTCATCATTGCTCCGTCTCCCCCTGCTCGATGGGACGTCCTCTCGGACGCGTTCCCTGCTCCGTCATCATCCTTGACCATCGTCCCTCCTGTCCGTGACGCCTCCTGCCCAAACCCCACTCACTTCGCACTCCGCGCGATGCCATCCCACGCGATGCCATCCCACGCGTCTTCTCTCGTCCACGTGTTTCCCTTCCTATCTCTCACATCGGGAATTAAAGAGACACAAGCCACAGTGGTGCGAGTGTGGCCACGCGACCCAAGCCATGGACCTATAATGTCACCTCGATACACATGGAGACTCAGGGAGATACATTTAAGAAAAACCACAGCCGTGCGATTGGAGCAATTCAACCCAAACTATATACCACGTAGTAAATCCATAGAGACTCATACAGTATGTATATACATAGAGACCCGTAGAGACACATTGAGTTAAATAAAAAGCAAGTCATAGTGCGATTTGGGTACTGTAATTCAACCAGAAATGTGGACTGTCTCGTCAACCCACTGTGATCTACGCTTATGCAACGGGGGAGGAAGAGCAGCAAAACGACGCGAACTCTCTCTGCTGAAGCCCTCTCGTCGTGGCCAGCAGCAGGCATCGGCCTCGAGCTCCTGACGAACATTTTACTGCTGCTGCTGTTGCCATCTTGCTGCTGAATGTAATTACAACCACGCATCTCTCTCTCTCTCCACACTTCTTGGCACTTAAAAAAACACCTTTCAAATGAAAAACCGTTGCGTTTGAATAAATGACGGCTCAGACGTGCAATGTTGGGTTGGGGAGATGCGTGAGCGCCGATAAGACTGCGCCTCCATACCCATGGACGTTCAGCCTGGGTCATTTCCCGCACAGGCGCGTTACGCACGCGGCCCAGCGCTCTGTACCGGGACTCGAGCCACAGCCTCCTCTCACTCAGCCTTTCCCCTCTGGCTGGCCATTGTGAAGCAAAGCCAGCAGCACGGGGAATCCAATTGCCGTCAGCAAAGAAAACGCAACTCACTTGCGGAGTAACCGCGTCAGCCAATTACAATCACCAAGCTCGGCTTTAAATAGAAGCGGAATTTCTTCCAAAACAAAGGGCAGAGTTGATAAAAAAAAAACATTATTTTCCGTATTTTTTTTTATCACTCGCGAGTTATTTTTATTCACTGCAGTGGAAAGTTTGGGCTTTTATTTCGCGTTAAGCACACTCACTCCGGTTAATTGACGAGAATCAAAAGGTCAAAACCGGTCCAGGGTTGTGCTCACTTCAACAAAGGCTGCCGGAGGATAATTTTCTGGAAAGCAAACGATCAAATGATGGTCGAGACTAAATAAACAATGTGAATAAAGAGAGACACAGACGATTCTACTCCTTCACAGATCCGTCCCGTGAACAATAACAACCCAACGCGTCCCTCAATAACACCGGGCCTTGACAGGTACAATATAAAATGGGTGACGTTTCGGGCAATGGCCCTACTTCATAGCACACAAAGAGCGAGGCGCAGACTGGACGATGATATTTGGGGACTGACTGATAAGAATGATTACATCTTAAATAATGTTTTCTGATCAGACCAGTTTTAAACTGGCACGTGTATAGTTAGTTATCAAAGACATGCTGTTATTTATCTAAATAAAACGTATCAACAGCACCAATACAGGACAAGATAACGGTGTTGATGCGGCGTGTGGAGACGCAGACTGGAGTCGTGCTTGAATGTGTTTCGTTGAGTGAAATGAAGACACAAGAAGAATCGTACCGCGTAGGTTTATTGTGGAATCTTTGCGCGACCACCGCGTACATTTATGTTACAATGCGACTTGGGGGGAGGGGGGGGTGGCTCGCACGGCTCCCAAGTGAGACGCCCGGCACCGGTGGCGAGAACGATGCGACTCGTGAAGGCAGCAGCAGCAGTCACGCGGTGGTGACTTGGCGCCACATACCCCCCCCACCCTCAAGCTCTGCGGTCCCCTGTATATGAAGGTGTTCTCGGCCAATGAATTAATGTTTAAACACGTGGGAGGGAAACCGGAGTGCCAGGAGACACCGCACGCGTGCGAATATGGCAACACTCTCTCCATCATGGGGCCTCCTTTGCCAATACCAAAATATGAGAATAGGTTTCCCCTTTTTTCTGGCAACCGAACAGTGGTATTAAGATCTTTAAACACCAACTTGAAACCGTTTACAAGGAACCATCTCTGCATTGAAACTGATTAGTCCACACCAGAGTCAACTTTCTTTCGAGCCTAGTCTCAAACGGTGTGAGACCAGAGGACGTCAAAATGCGCAGACCAATCAGTTCCAAAGACAATGCATATACTATGAGAGTATGTTTTCTATTTGCATTCTGACCACAAGTATTGTGGTTAATGCAGACATGATTCCTTGTAAAAGATTTCAGTTTGGTGTTTTAGCATCTTAACACAGCTGTTTTTGTTGCCAGAAAAAATAGGGAACATATTCTCAACAACACTCTATCCCGTACAGACGGACCATCTGAGCCGCTTCCTCTCGGTGGCTTCCTCCTCGACGCGCACGGAGAGTGAATTTCGCGACGTCCACGTGGTGATCCATCAACCCTCGCCTGGTGTGCAGGCGTGTGCCACCGCCACGTCACGACAAGTCGAGCAGTCGCTCGTGCGGGGACTGCCGCCAGAAATCACGAACTCAACACATTCGTCAATAACGGCGTGGCCCTAAAAGTAAACACAGTAATAGGCGACGTTTCGAGCAATGGCCCTTTTTAGTGACACATGTGTCATTGCGACACAATAACGGGTCATCATATAACATGTGCTATAAAGAAGGGGCATTGCCCAAAACGTCGGCGATCATCTATTATATGATATATTCCTGTCACCTCATGACTTGGAGTGACTGGCGCGTGCTTTTGTGCTCTCCCAACTTGATGACTACAACGCAGCACTGTTCGCGATTCCGAGTAAGGTGCTGAGTTAGACCCCAGGTCGTTCAGAACGCAGCCTTTAGAGTCCTTGCGCCCACGCCGTTTCACGAGCAGCACATCACACAGCTGCTCTCTTTCCTGTGCCCTGGCTACTCGTCAAGTACCGAGTAGACTAGAAGATCCCACTGCTGCTGACCTACAAGGGACTCAATGGGTTAGCCCAGCAGTATCTACAGGAACTTGATCCGTGTTGACTCTCCAACGAGGTCCCTGAGATCTTCGGATCTAACTCTTCTCAGTACTCAGAGATCAAGGTTCTGTTCCTGGGCTGACCGGGCTGTTGTCACTATATTTCAGTCAGTCTTGAAAACTCGCCTCTTTAACCTGGCCTTCATCCCCTGTCAAGTCCTGGCGTGTACCCTGCAGATTATGTTTATTGCCTGATGTCTGCACACGGAGCGCATTGGTGGGACCCACGGTCGACGGGAAACAGGGCAGCCTCTCACACAGGGAGAGTCACTCACTCCGTCACCGTCACGATCTCGTTGAAAGTCATTCACTCCGAGACAGTCACCAACCCCGAGACGATGACTGCAGCTCATACGGCCCGGGATGACGTCGGCGTGTCCGCATGATGTCATCCCTCGCGTGACGATGATTCGTGATCCTCTCGGCGATGATGATGATGATGGTAACGATTATAATTAAGAGGTTTATTTTTTTCATCATTTCCCTTTAGTTACTATTCATATTATTAAAGGTGGATAAGTTGAGATAGATTAATATTCAGAGCTATGCTGTTCATCATGTTTTAAACATCACGACGATGATCTTGATTATATGAAGAATGGTTATCGATTGATGTGAACATGATTATGAAAGCGATGATTGCAGATGACGACGACGCCGGCGATTAATAAAAAAATGTCACCATTATAAATTCGTGACCATTTAGAAAATGTCGATGATAATGATTATACATGTTGCTTAGTCTCATGATATATGGAGCTTATATGTACAGTATCATTATATATATACCTGCTGTAGTGGACTCATCCGCCCGGCGCGTGCGTTAACCGAGGGGTACCCGCGGGGTGATTGACGCTGTGAGCAGTGGAGAGGCACGCGCGCCATGCGTGCGCGACAGCACTTGCCCCAAGTGTGTCTCTACGTTGTCTCTGTGTGTGTCTGTGTGTGTCTCTGTGTGTGTCTGTGTGTGTGTCTCTGTGTGTGTCTGTGTGTGTCTGTGTGTCTCTGTGTGTGTGTCTGTGTGTCTGTGTGTCTTTATGTTGTCTCTGTGTGTCTGTGTGTGTCTCTGTGTGTGTCTCTGTGTGTGTCTGTGTGTGTCTCTGTGTGTGTCTTTATGTTGTATCTGTGTGTCTCTGTGTGTGTCTGTGTGTGTCTGTGTGTCTCTGTGTCTCTGTGTGTGTCTCTGTGTGTGTCTGTGTGTGTCTCTGTGCGTGTCTGTGTGTGTCTGTGTGTGTCTCTGTGTGTGTCTGTGTGTGTCTGTGTGTGTCTTTATGTTATCTTTATGTTGTCTCTGTGTGTGTCTGGGTCTGTGTGTGTCTTTGTGTGTGTCTGTGTGTATCTTTAAGTTGTCTCTGTGTGTGTCTCTGTATGTCTCTGTGTGTCTTTACGTTGTCTTTATGTTGTCTCTGTGTGTGTATGTGTCTGTGTGTCTCTGTGTGTGTCTGTGTCCGTGTGTGTCTGTGTGTGTCTTTATGTTGTCTCTGTGTGTGTCTGTGTCTGTGTGTGTCTCTGTGTGTGTCTGTGTGTATCTTTAAGTTGTCTCTGTGTGTGTCTCTGTGTGTCTCTGTGTGTCTTTATGTTGTCTGTGTGTGTGTCTGTGTCTGTGTGTGTCTCTGTGTGTGTCTGTGTGTATCTTTAAGTTGCCTCTGTGTGTGTCTCTGTGTGTCTCTGTGTGTGTCTTTATGTTGTCTTCATGTTGTCTGTGTGTGTCTGTGTGTCTCTGCGTGGGGGGCGGTAGTGTAGCGTTACGCTGCGCTACGAACCCAGCGACCCGAGTTCGATTTACGCTCACGGCCAGCACCAGTGATGATTATGTGAACCGGTCATGGGACTCCCCTAGGTCGACTCAGCCTCAAATGAGTACCTGGTGTGGTGTTTAAACATCACTACTGGGGATTCAAAGGCGGCCGGGCGTGGTGTTGACCACCCACCCCTCGTGTGCCGTGCCGGACTTCATAGGTGCTACTCGCTAACAGGTCTTGCCTCAACAGTCTGTTTAAAGGCTACACGGGGGATCTTTGTATTTGTCTCTGATTGTGTGTCTGTGTGTGTACGTGTGTAGGTTAGCGGTGAGCGCGTTACGCTGTGAATCTGGTCGACCCGAGTTCGATTCCCGCTCACGGTTAACACCAGTGTTGATTTTCTGAACCGGTCTTTGGCCTCCCCCTAGGTTGACTCAGCCTCAAATGAGTACCTGGTGCAGTGTGTAAACATCGCCACTGGGACAATGTCGGCCCGTCGTGGTGCTGGTCACCCACCCCTTCGTGTGCTGTACCGGCCTTCATAGGTGCTCGCTAACAGCACTTGCATCAACAGTATGTTATGGGTATACAGGGGATGTTTGTCTTTGTGTAAAGGGAACATATATAGGTGCAATATACAGTCACGAGATGTCTTCTCTGTGCAAACACGCAGGAATCGAATCCTCCATCTGCTTTCTCCGTGCACTTCGTCTCCTCGTCCTCCTCCTCCTCTCCTTCCTCTTCCTCCTCCTCCTCCTTGTCGTGTCTCACACGACTCGCGCGCAGCTCCGCGTGTGGCTGTTGGCTGTGCACATGCCGGTGTTCCAGGGTGAGACGCGAGGTGGCGAGTCACGACTCCACGCCGACCCCGATCCACAACCCCGCGTCTCACTCGAGCTCTACCCCCAACTACAATCCCAGCCCTTACTCCAAGCTAAATCCCTGACCGTAGGCCTCTAACCCTATCACTGACCATAATCTCGGAACCTCAACCCTCTTCCTGACCATAACCTCTTAACCCCAATATCAACAGTGCTGAGTATTGGGATGGGAATGAAGGATAGGGTTGTGGTGAGGGTTATGTAACGGAGGGTTAGGATTGAGGTCAAGGATATGGATAGGGTTGAGGCTAGGGATGGTGTTAAGGATGTGGTCGAGATTAGGGGTAGGGTCGAGGTTAGGGGTAGGGTCGGGGTAGGGTCGGGGTTAGGGGGGGTCGGGGTTAGGGGGGGGGTATGTATGTTTGTTGAACTTCTTTCGCAGCACACGTAGCCAACCGTGCTGATCGGAGGTTAGCAACATTGACGACGGTGCTATTGTTACTGTGACCATAACTCCTATTGCAGACGCCTCCTTTCAACTTTCACGTCCAAGGGAACGAATGAATCACGTGCAGAGAGAGAGAGGGGGGGGGGGGGGTTCTGGCTGGGGGTTACCTGTGGCCTGCGGCGCAGCTTTGGGGGTCTCCGGGGTCACGTAGCGGTCACTCTCGGTGTCTGTGGGAGAGAGGCGCTCTGTCCGTGAGACGTTGACGAATCCCCGCGGAAGTGGCTATCGTGCAACTACTTCTGAGATCCCTTACAGTGCCCTCCGATGTTCGATTTTTTTTCCGCACGCTACGCGCCAATTAGTAAGTGCTTATTATACGCGTGCGAGGAAATCGGAGCATCCGGAGAAAACCAACGCGTGCGAGGGGCAACACTCGATCCCATACAGCTGAAAACAGATGGCGATGAGTGCACACTTTGCTGTAGTCAGGGTATGCTTCCTCCTCGACGGCCGCGGGGAAGGGAGCCTCGCGACGTTTGCCATCGTGCGCGATGATCCACAAACCCTCTGCTGCTGCTGCCTCCAAAGCGCTGGATCACAGCAGCCACGTGCAGCAGCGGAGCCACCACTACCACCACTACCACCACCACCACTACCACCACCACTACCACCACTACCACCACCACTACCACCACTACCACCGCCACTACCACCACTACCACCACTGCCACAGCCACAGCCACGGCCCGATTCTGAATCGTAGCGAGGGGGTGCGGGGGGTTAGGCTCTTACCCGAGTCGTTCTCAAACGTGAAGTCCTCGCACGTCCGCTGTCTGCAGGAGACACAGAGAGAGCGTCCGTGCGTGAGCCATGCCGCCACCACGTCCCTTCATTTACAGCGCAAATTTGCAGTGAAATTTGTTTTAAATACCACCTTGCCCTTCAACTGCGGTTTGCCGACCAAAACAAAATAATCAATTGGAATATTTGCCCACTTGACAACTCGATATGACTGGCCACGATGTATCTGGAGCGAGGACCGAGGCACCCTCTCGTCAAGATGGTGTGTGTGTGGTTAGTCCTGTGTGTGTGTGTGTGGTTAGTCCTCTGTGTGTGTATGGTTAGTCCTGTGTGTGTGTGTGTGGTTAGTCCTGTGTGTGTGTGTGGTAAGTCCTGTGTGTGTGTGGTTAGTCCTCTGTGTGTGTGTGGTTAGTCCTGTGTGTGTGTGTGGTTAGTCCTGTGTGTGTGTGTGGTTAGTCCTGTGTGTGTGGTTAGTCCTCTGTGTGTGTGTGGTTAGTCCTGTGTGTGTGTGTGTGGTTAGTCCTGTGTGTGTGTGGTTAGTCCTGTGTGTGGTTAGTCCTCTGTGTGTGTGTGGTTAGTCCTGTGTGTATGTGGTTAGTCCTGTGTGTATGTGTGGTTAGTCCTGTGTGTGTGTGTGGTTAGTCCTCTGTGTGTGTGTGGTTAGTCCTGTGTGTGTGTGTGGTTAGTCCTGTGTGTGTGTGGTTAGTCCTCTGTGTTTGTGTGGTTAGTCCTGTGTGTGTGTGTGGTTAGTCCTGTGTGTGTGGTTAGTCCTCTGTGTTTGTGTGGTTAGTCCTGTGTGTGTGTGGTTAGTCCTGTGTGTGTGTGGTTAGTCCTGTGTGTGTGCTTATTCCTCCCTGTGTGTGTGGTTAGTCCTCAGATGTGTGGCTTACCGTGACGCTTGATGCAGAACGCGGATGTCATCTGCAAAACAAACACGTAAATAGATTTAGATCACATAAACAATAAAGCATTGTTATAATTGTTATCGCGAGGTCGCGTAGCATGTAGGCATTGCCTTCAAGCCACAGTTCCACTGTGGCCATGCAACCCAGACGAGAGAGAGAGAGTGATTCAGAGGAGCGCAAACCCGCAGAGAAGCGGGGGAGGCAGCGAGAATGGGCACAGACCACTTGTCCAAGCCCTGGGGCCTCGATGTTTGTCCAACCCCGCGTGATGTCCACACTCCAGGTACAGTTTTACCCTATTTGTTTTCGCCAATTGTTCTGCCGCTTTTTGTGTTGGGTGTGAATATTAATCATAGTATCGATGCCCCTCTATTTCCCCAGGAAAGCCGCGGTGAGTCTCAAGACACTGTTCTCGGGAGGCCCCTGCTACGTTGGGATTTGGCCAATTCCGCTTCAAATGAGTTTAACCTCGCGTGTGTGGGGCGGAGGGAAACCGGAGCACCCGGGGTAAGCCCGCACGTGCGAGCGCCAGGGTACGGCTACTCCCACAACGCCCGCGGGTGGAAGGGAGTTTCGCAACATGCGTGTGTGATCCACCAACCCTGTCTTCTGGCCACCCGCAGTGCCGGATTACGGGCAGCCACTCCACGTGCAGCGGCGTAGCCACTGCGACCTCGCGCGTACCTGGCTGCATTTCCCTGCGTCTCCTCTTCACCAGAACCCAGACGAGGAGCGTGACGACGATGATCGTCGTGGGGATGGCGGCGAGGGTGGCGAGCAGCCAAGGGGACCAAGCGAAGCTGTGCGCATCGTGGGGAGAGGGGGGCCCCTGCGCCTCCAGCATCGCCGCGCTCATCTTCCCGCACCCCCACTGCTTCGATGAAGGCGAATCTAAAGATGGTATGGGATAGTGGGATAGTGGGATAGTGGGATAGTGGGAAAGTGGGATAGTGGGATAGTGGGATAGTGGGACAGTGGGATAGTGGGATAGTGGGATAGTGGGAAAGTTGGATAGTGGGAAAGTGGGATAGTGGGATAGTGGGATAGTGGGAAAGTGGGATAGTGGGATAGTGGGATAGTGGGATAGTGGGAAAGTGGGATAGTGGGATAGTGGGATAGTGGGAAAGTGGGATAGTGGGATAGTGGGATAGTGGGAAAGTGGGATAGTGGGATAGTGGGATAGTGGGAAAGTGGGAAAGTGGGATAGTGGGATAGTGGGATAGTGGGAAAGTGGGATAGTGGGATAGTGGGATAGTGGGAAAGTGGGATAGTGGGATAGTGGGATAGTGGGAAAGTGGGATAGTGGGATAGTGGGATAGTGGGAAAGTGGGATAGTGGGATAGTGGGATAGTGGGATAGTGGGATAGTGGGATAGTGGGATAGTGGGATAGTGGGAAAGTGGGATAGTGGGATAGTGGGATAGTGGGAAAGTGGGATAGTGGGATAGTGGGATAGTGGGAAAGTGGGATAGTGGGAAAGGGGGATAGTGGGATAGTGGGATAGTGGGAAAGGGGGGGGGGGGTCAAACACATACAGGCACGTGTTACTAACCAAAACTATTTTTATTTTACCGGTCAAGGCCCAGAGAACTATGATGCTCTTTTTTGAGACGCGACCTGGCCACAAATTATAGCCGGGCCACGTGGTTGCGACTGCTGCGCTCCTCTCGTTTCTTGTGAACTGACGAGTTCCGAGTGTGAAGAGTTGCGGCTGGCGGGATGGGGGGGGGGGGTACTGCTGTGTGTGGTGCTGCGTGGGAGCCCCCCATTTTGGCTTTCTCCTTTAGTAACACCGGTGATTAATCCGCCCCCCCCAATCCTCTCCCCCTCCTCCCTCCCCCGAATGGGTAACCGAATCGTTGTAAACGAAGCGGGCTGTGACCGCCAGTGGTGGCTCAAATCTTTGGTGGTACGACCCCGCGGTAGCCTGGTGCTTTGGTTGTGGTGGTGTGGGGCGGTGGGGGCTGGGCGGGGGGGATGGAGGGTGGGGGCAGTGGTGAGGGCGAGGGACTGCAGATCGCCAGAGCGACTCTCCGAGGCGTGCGACTCACGGGCGAAGGTGAGGCAGTACTCGGCACGCCGCCCGCGCGTCTCGCACGCCCACACGCCCTGCGAGCGGCTCTGCGCGCCACGCACCGCCAGCTCCACGCCCCGTCGCCCGGGGTCTCTCTGGCCGTTGAGCCACCATGCGACGGCCTTGTCGCCCGCTCCCGCCGAGCCCCGCGCGGCGCACCGCAGGGTGATGTTCTGGGACTGTTTCACGGGCCCCGAGTGGTCTGACACCACCACCACGGGCGCGTCGCAGTCTGCCAATGAGACACACGCACGATGCTCGACGTGAGATTCATAGTTGAATCGCGTAGCCACGAGATGCGCGCTGCTGACGAGTCGCCGTGACCGTACACGTGGGGAGGAAATCGGAGCACCCGGAGACCACCCTCGCCTTGCGCGAGGGGGCAACACCCTAATCCCAGACGGAGATCAGGGAGTCTCACAACATCTGCGCAGTGATCCACCAACCCCTGCGGCCTTCACAGCAAATATCCCCCCCCCCCGATCCCTCCAGAATTGGATGCCATGCGGCTGAGTCATTGGTATATATTTAGAAGCAGACGAATTGTCTGCAAGGAAGGAGGCTGAGTCAAGACAGTAATACCATCACAGTAGTACAAAGTGGCTTTATTATTATCATGATGGGACATGGTTAATCCACTGCTGGATGAAGGCCTCCGCCAAGCCGCCACCCACAATGACGACCCTGCCATGTCATAATCCACCCTTTACCTGCTCTATCCACGGGTTGATTCCATCGCCACATCTCCAAAGGACCGACCACCTTTGTCTTCGTGGCGATGTTTATAAATCGCACTTGCTACTCGTTTGAGGCTGAGTCGACCAACGGGGAGGCCCAGGACCAGTTCAGATAATCGTCACCGGTGTTGGCTATGAGCGGGAATCGAACTTTGGTCGCCGGTTGCATCGTGTAGCTGTTCACGACCGTTACCGCCCACCAGCACCACCACACGCACCTGGTCTGACATTGAGCCTCACACTGAGCGAGACCTCTCCCCACTCGAAACTGAAGACCCCCGCATCTCCCAGACGCAGCCGGTGCAGCTGCAGGACGCACGGCTGAGCCACGCGGAGCGCGTGGCGCTTGGCGAAGCGTTTCTGGTCCTCGCCGTCTCCCACGCACTCCGGGTGGTCGGGGACCCAGGTCCAGTTGTGGTGGTGGCCTTGAGACTCCCCTGGCTCGGGGCACGGCACCGACGCAGAGCCTCCCTCCACCGCCTGCACCGACACCACCTTGTCCGCTGACGACGACGCGGCCGTCGCCGCTGCTGCTGCTGCAATAATAATGATGACGATGATGACGATGTCAACTTGATAGGCGCCGCTGCCACACAGGAGCCGTTCGCTCTCGTCGAGAAAGAGGACGACTCTGAGACGCTATGAAGAAGAACCGCAGACGAGCGAGAAGGAAGCAACAGCCACGCGGTGAGCCGGAGCTACCAAGAATTGCCAACTATTGAGTATTTACATGTGCGAGGAAACCGGAGCACCCGGAGAAAACCCACGCATGCGACGGGGAAACACTCTATCCCGCGCAGATGGACCAGGTGGCGTCAACATTTGTTGCTGTACTGCATTCTCCCGGCATAGCCATGGTGTGGCTCCTCCTCGATGTCCACGGGAAGGAAGCTTTACAAAACCTGTCTGGGGTCCACCAACCCTCGCTGTTGCCTCCCCTGCGCTGGGTTATAACGTCTTTCGTCTTTCACAGAAAATCCACTCCCAACCCAAGGTCAACGTGAAATCCTCCTAAAAGGAGCACTGATGCGGTGCTAAACTCCTCTTCACAATCTTGAAGCGGTAATTCCACATTGCTGTGGCACGTGCGAGTCTAACCATTGGAAAACGACTGTTGACGTCGCGCAAAGTGGTACTCATGTTAGCAACCTCGGAGCAAGGGATGATGATGGGCTGAGTCAAGCCCCAACCGAGGATGTGACCTGGCGCCTGTCCGATGGCGAGCCACGCACTCTCCTCCTGAGAGTCACCACGTAGCCGGTTTCCCCAGATGAAGGCGCAGCCCTGCAATTGCGAGCTCACGCCCCTGCTGGTGCAAGGGTCTCCACAAGAAAGTCCCACTGTAAGGTATTTGGCCTACTCTTTCACGCTGGCCATCCGTCTTGGATGAGGTGGGAGGTCCGACACTTTACCCCACGACACGCGAGCCGAGCCCGCCCGAGTCCCCAGAACACCACCCCCACCTCCCCGTCGGGCCCGTACCTGCAGCGCAGTAGACGGCGACGAACGCCACGAGGACTCGGCTGGGCCCGGCTCGCGAGGCGCTCATCGTGGATGAGGTCCGCGTCCTTGCTCGAGTCTGAGCTGAGCGCGCGCGCACGCGCACGGAGAGAGAAGAGGGCGAGCGAGAGAGAATGTGGCGTGTGGTGAGCGAACAGTCGTGGAAGGGAGAACCACCAGTTTACATGCAGCCTTTATGAGACTGGCATCGGCCGTGACTCATCTGCAGTAGTGTGGAAACTGATAACAACTGGATTCATAATAAATAATAAATATTTTAGCGTGTTTAAGCTCAAACTCAAAGCAACAACAATTTCCTTTGCGCAATAGCCGCATGGATAAATGCAAAGTGTGTGGCGTTGTATGCTCAGACCTGCCGTGGTGTTTCCACGGCTCCTGCCCGCTACCCCTGACCCTTCATCAAATGTCACACCGATTATCATCATCACCACCATCGTCATCACCACCACCACCATCGACCATGGGTATACATTGAGATATATGTGTATCCGTACAACCCTGTTGTCAATCCACTGCTGGATGAGGGCCTCCCCACGCTGTGCGGGTCGTGGCTGGCAGCGGGAGGGGAGGGAGGAGAGGGGGGTGGGGTATAAGACCATACTTCATCAGGCTGGCTCAGTTTGGGTTGTAGGGGGAAGAATGTTGCTGCCCTCCTGCTGCCCCAAACGTAACACCCCCCCCCTACCCGCCCCTGGGCAGCAGCCCATGAATGACAATCGATCCATCCACTATCCAGGCTCCTACCTGCTTAGCTTCCAGCCCGACCCTGGACTGAGGCCGGACTGTGCGTGCCATCAGCTGGAGCCGATTCGTCCCCCGGGTTGACAATTCCCCCGTTTACCCGGGTGTGGGGATTCTTTTTGTTTTATCCATCATGTGCAGTTCGACATAAAGTCCGACGTTTCGCTGCTTGTGGCTAGCAGCTAATCCAGGACAACGGCAACAACAATAAAACCCCGGAAAGACATCGGAGAGCTACGCACCAGCACAGCCACCAACACCCTACGCAGTCGTATCAATGATTAATACTGACAACGATAATCATCACCAGCATCACCATTGCCAATGGATACAGTGACATCATCATCGCCCGCGAGCGAATACGTTGAGAATTTACGTGAAAAACTCAACTCAGGTTTTCGCTTGAATATGTATTAAAATAGCCGCGTGTAGGTACGCGGGGGCGAGGGGGGCTCTCCCCGCGGTCAAACTTTTCCGAACTGATGCGAAAGGCGTGGGGGCAGGGAGCGGAGCGGGGTGGGGGGCACTGAGGCAGGGGGTACGGGGCAGAGCCACACCTCCACCAGTCGTACGCTACAACACCGTCGTCCATAGGCCACGTGATGGACTTGTCTGCACCACAATATATTCACGAAGTACTCTTTGTGTAGAATATTAACTACAATATAAATATCTCCCTCGTCCTATATTATGTTTTCCATGTAAACAAATACCGCAATCTTTTGTTCACATCAGCCTCACTGCCTGTTGGATGGGAGTACAAACCTATCAACAGCATTGGTTCGATGCGAAGCAAAGGTAAATCTGAGCCAGCTTCAACGTTCAGTTGTCTCATCAGCAGGGTCAAGTTTGCTTGTCTGTACCAGCTGATTCATTGCGAACGACCATTCTCGCCCCCTTCCCTCCCCACCCCTTCCTCGTCATTTCCAGCGGAGGGAATCAAACCGCAGCGCTGTTGGTTTGTGGTCAAAAACCCGCAGTGTGTGGGGTTTGACTGTGTGGTCCCTTCTCACCTGCACCGCAATCCCAATGCATGGGCCGGGGCAGCTCTGTGCGAGAGACTCTGAGAGTGAGCGGAACGAGGATGCTGAGCACCCGGGAGTCGCTGCGTCTCACCAGAGGCTACGACTGCTGCTGATGCGGGAAGTGAAAGTGATGATGATGGTGATGATGATTGCGCCACTTGCATGAGATACGGCAACGACGACGCTGTGAACACGTGGCTCGCTTCCTCTTATTCATTGGGTCTTTAGGTAAAGTCACGTGACTTTATCGATCGACCAAGAGAATATTAATTCCTGCAGTCACGAAAGCTCTAAGTAAAGATTCGCTTCCCCTTTTTGAGTGGATGGACGAGCAAGTGGGTGGATGGGTGGGTGCGTTGATGGGTGAGTGATTGGGCTGTGGTCTGAGTCTCTATGTAACGCTATGGCTCTCTATGTAACTCTTTGGGTCTCTATGTAATTCTACGAGTCTCTATGGAACTTCCATCACTGCCAGCGGTCTTGTGCTGTGGTCGTCCTTGCAGTAACAGAGCCGCTTCGCTCAATAGGGCTTCACTGGCTGACAATAAAGTCCGGGTCAGTATCGACTTATTCAACTTAACCCACCCACTCTGTGAACTTTCAGGCAGGCCATCGATAACATTTCCCGAAGTTTCGTGAGAGGAGTTCGCGACTCTCCGCGGGTATATCCCCGTGTGTGGGTGAGACAACCCACCAGCCCCACCAACCCAACAGCCCACCAGCCCCACCAGCTCACCAGCCCCACCAACCCAGCAGCCCACCAGCCCCACCAACTCAGCAGCCCACCAGCCCCACCAACCCAGCAGCCCACCATCCCCACCAACCCAGCAGCCCACCAGCCCCACCAACCCAGCAGCCCACCAGCCCCACCAACCCAGCAGCCCACCAGCCCCACCAACTCAGCAGCCCACCAGCCCCACCAACCCAGCAGCCCACCAGCCCCACCAACCCAGCAGCCCACCCCGTCTCATAACCCCCTCGAGCAGTCGCTCACTCGCCCGCCCGCGGTGACATTCACTGCAGTGACATCGCGCGATAACCGGTGACTCTTGTAATGAACCAGGACTCACATAGAACAGAAAGGACTCCTCGCCTATAAACGTCGAGTGCAGCTAATCAGCATCGGTTCAAGCAAGCCTGACTCTGCTGATGAGACACTTAAGTGTCGAAACCAGTCAAAATAGTTTGCTTTCATGGAACCAATGCTGCTGAAAAGTTACGTTCAGAGAAAAAACAAAAATATCGAGAGAGATGCTGTATTCGTAAAATTAGATACAAATCGAGTTGTTTATTAGCTGAGCTTTTGTTAACCAGATGGGGCGCCACGGTGGCGAGATGTTAACAACCTCGCCCGCTATGCAGGAGTGCGTGGGTTTGATCTCGGCCATGACGCCTGCTGCTGTATATTTGGAGTTCTCCCCGTGGTTGCGTGGATTTTTCTCCGGATCCTCCGGTTTTTCCCTCCACAATTAGAAACACTCGTCTAGAGTATGTGGCTGCTGTAAATGCCCACGTGATAAGCCACTTCGTTAACCTACCATTTGCAGCCAGTGGGCCTTAGCTGGTAAAGTATGCCGTACTTTTGTTTAACAGCTACTGGATGTAATTCTGAGAGAAACGTCGAACAGAATCGTTACAATTCTGCTCGCTTTTCAAGATTCCTCCTCCTCCTGAGAAACCAACACATTCGGGACCATTAGCCCCACATTACAACGTGATATGATTTGCTCTGTCGGGTGGTGAAGGGCTATAATAAAGAAACATGACTTTATATTTACACGATGATCAAACTCAAGAGAAGTTACTTATGAATCCTGAATATTGGTCGTGAAATACTCTGCCTAACATTCTCTCTGAGGCTCCCAGAAACAAAAATACAAACTCCCAACTCGCAGACAGCGCCATCGGTGCGTGCACTCAGCAGCACCCTCTCCCCCGCTGCTCACTCACCTGTGCACAAGGGGACCAGGTCGACCCTCAAGCTCCGTGCGTCGCGGTCCCGTTGACGCCGCGCCGTTTGCACCTCTTCACACCTCCTCGTGCCGTAAACAGTAACAGCGGAGGGAGGGCAACCGGACACACGGACTGACGCACCCGTCCAACTAACGCACCCACCACTAGCCAACGCGCAGTGGCACTGCCACCTGTCCTGTGCGACTGAACGCGGGCACCTTTCGCCTCGATGCCCCCTCCCGAATATAAAAAGTGGCGCGCTGGGCGCTGACGTCGGCGGGGCGCTGCATTCATTGGAGGAGAGCCCCGCGGTCCGCGCGGTTTACGGGAAATCGGAGCCTCGACCGTGGAAACATCATCAGCAGATCCGTGTCTCGCCTCGCTGCCTCCTAATCGGCGCGCAGTGAAAGGGCAGTGCGTGTTTTGTGTGTGTGTGCATGTTGGTTCCAGATGAGATCCGTGACGCGTGCAAGATAGAGATAAGCGCGAAATGATAACGGGGCCCGAGTGAGATCCTGCGGCGACACAGGCTGACATTTCGCTCGAGTGGAAACACCAACGAGTAAACGACGAGTTGTTGTTGTTGTTGTTGTTGCTGCTGCTGCTCTGCTAAGAATAACAACACTGGCGATTGTGGTAGTGGCGGCTATTGTAATTGACGTCGCCAAAGCGACCGGGTCTCCTGGCCGCCGACCGCAGTCGTTGCCGCGCGTTGAGACATTCGCGCACCGCGGTCGAGCCGTGGTGGCTTGAAGCCGGCCCCAGCGGTTTGACCGCGAGGGGCGAGGGCTTGACGCAAATGCGAATGGTGGCGGGCAGACACGTGCCTTATCGGAGGCGGCAGCAGTGGAAATGCGCAATGCCAGCAATGACAAATTCATCTGCCAGCCACAGCAATCATCACCTTGCAGCCAGGGCCCCTTATCTAGAGAGCCGCTATATCTGTGGACATTTCTGCATGATGAAAAAATAAGAATAGGTTTTACCATATTTGACAACAAACATGAAAAAGATACCTTTTGCAAACAATGCAAACAAGCACGATATTTGTTCGCATGTTTTGCCACAAGTGTGTGTGGTGAATGCCTTACAAAAAGGGTCGCTATTTGGTGTTTGAACATCTTAACACCCGTTTTATTGCCAGAAAGGGTAAAACCTGTTCTGATGTTTTTTTTCACTTTTTAGAGCGCCGTCGGTACATGAGCGGTGCACCGCCTGCCGTAACTGCGTGGTTGTGACACTGCGCTGGTCGTGATGCACAATTAATTCAAATGTAACAAAAAATAAACTCATCAACACGTGTGTTCATTACTCTGCCCTAAACCACCGGTTGCGACATTCAGTGTCTCATCAGCAGAGTCGACAGACTTGCTTGAAGCAATGATGGCGAACTTTCTGCCAGATGCTTGCGAGGCCAAGGGCCCTCGTCCCGTCTGTGAGTTCCGCGCCGATCCGTCCGGGACACAGCCGATCGGCCACTGACGTCGCTGTACAGTCGGAGGTGGCGGCCGGCACATAACTTGAGGTATGCATTCATATTCTTGGTTCTTTCGGTAAAGTAACGTAGGCGGGAAAAATAATAATAATAAAAATATAAAATATAATTAAATAAAATTCTCAGAATGTTTCGGCCATAACATATGCAGCCGTCCTCAGGTGAAGAAACAGAACTGTCGGAAAGACACCGCTCCAATGAACACTGCTAAGCTTGGCAGCGTATTTTAAGCTGGGTGGGAGGAGCAGAGCACCTCGACAAAGGAGTTTACATATCAACAGAATAATATAGCATTGAAGTAGCTGTGTTAATGTGAGAGATTAGCAGGACGTTAAAGTAAGAAATTCGCATGTAACTGGGAGATTAGCATGATGTTAATGTGATGAATTAGCATGTAACTGGTCACGGAAGTGGCTATGTTAAAGTCAGAGTTTACATATCAACAGAGGCATTTAGTATATTGACTCTAAAGAACTGCAACTACCCAACTATCATACAATACACCGATGTGAAAGAACTAAATATAAACTACATCAATATAATCAAAGTACGCAATATATTTTTCAATAAGCTGAGCTATTAACATTAAGTAACTGGGTATACACTACACTATATAATGACTACCATATAGTGAACCGATGAAAAACTATACTCAATATACTCTCCAATAAGCTGAGTATACATATCAACAAAATAATTTAGCATATTGACGCTAAAGAACTGCAACACCCTGCAGTCACGAAAGATTTAAATCGAAACATGTATGTATTGTATGTATGTATTGTGTGAATGTTTTGTATGTATGTTTTGTATGAACGTATGTATTGTATTGCATGTATGTGTTGTGTGTATGTATTGTATGTATTACATATATTGTATGTATGTATTGTATGTATTGTATGTATTGTATGTATGTATTGTATGTATTACATATATTGTATGTATGTATTGCATGTATTGTATGTATTGTTTGTATTGTATGTATTGTTTGTATTGTATGTATTGTTTTGTATGTATTGTGTGTATACTCTTTGCTTCTTTCGGTAAAGTCACGTAGGTATAAAATAAAACTGCTGGATTATATTTCTTTCCGCCTGAGGACGACCGCTTGTGTTGTGATCGAAACGTCGTGATTTATTTTATTTTAAACCCACGTGACTTTTCCGAAAGAACCAAAGAGTATGGATTCTTGTAACCACGAAAGCTTCAAATGAAGATAGTGTATGTATGTAAGTTGAACTTATTTCACACCGTGCGTCGGCAACCCTGATTATAATCGGCGGTGCGGGGGAAAGGGCAAAAAACTAAACACAAAAAGGAGTTTTAAATAAATTAGTTTCTAATTTATAGAAATGTCGTTTCCACGGCTCGTTCATTTCTGGGTCCCGCTCGGCTCTGCCGCGTGATTTGCTGGCAAAGCAGCAACTAGGATCACGAACCTCGTTTTCTGCGCGTGGCCGTATGTGTGCAAATTTAACTTCTTTCGCACCGTACGTAGCCAACCGTGCTAATCGGAGGTGCGGGGAAAGGACGACGAGCGTGTTGGCTGTCTCCCCGTAGGCACCGCGGAGTTTCTCTGCCGAGTTCCGCGGCCGCCTTCGTGCCCGAGCGAAGCGACGACGACCCTTTGAAGGAGCACGTGGCCAAACGTCCTCATGAAAGACCCTCTTGACAACTTGTCTTGAGACTCAGCAATGTGCATTGTCTTTTCTCAGCAACATAAACAGCTTTAGAAGAGAACACGAGCTGTGTTTTCATTTCGTTAATTTGCTGTTTGTTTGACTCAAAGCGGAGTTTACGAATTTATCTAAACAATGTAACCCTCGCAAGAGCAGGGCATGGTTATCGCAATTGCGCTGAGACCCCGCGGGCCTGAGCTCGCTTCACATTCGCCACAGATTAAGAACCGCAACCAGCAAGCGATTCCTGAACCGGTCCTGGGAACCACCCCCCCATAACCTGACTCAGCGTGGGGTCGCATTCATCCAGCAGTGGAATGACGAAGGGGAAACGTTTGCGAGCCGTGACATTCGTTTTATAATAAATGCCAGAGGGCGCGTTGAATGAGAAGGAGGGAAACACCGCGGGTCCCAGTTGCGCGGCTCCCCCCGGGTTCTTTCATTGGAACCGCGGGGAGGGAGCCGCCCAGCCACGCCGCGCGCATCACGCGCGGCCCTCGAGCGGTCAGCGAACCGGCGAGTGATCACGTCACAGCTTTTTGAGAATCGACGCTCGACGGCCTGACTCGAGCTTTGGTGAACGCGCAGGCCGTTCCCAAGAGTTGGCGGAAAAAAGTGCGTTTTTGTCCAACAGCTCTAAGGCGGGAACCGCTCTCCACTGGCCCGGCCCGGGCTCAGTTTCGGTCCGAGGGGAGCGCGGACCGCAGTCACGGGGCTGGCGCTGATCTCGAGCGAGTGAGCGCTGTCTCTCACACGCAGATCTCTCTCTCTCTCGTATCTCCATCTCTTCTTGTGTTTTTCTCGCTCCCTGCTTGTCCCACCGTGTATCTCGCTCCCGCCTTCATTTCTCCCTCTCTCTGTCTCTCCCTTGTCTCCCTGTATATCTATCTCCCTCCCTCTTTCTCTCATCGTATATCTCCCAACTCTCCCTGATTCTCTTCGTATCTCCCTCGCTCCCAGTCTCGCAGTCTCTCCGAGTCTCTCCTTGTTTATCTGTATTTAATTAAATTTAAAATGTAACTTCATTCGATCACCACTTCAATAATTTCTGTAATTTATAAATGAGTACTGTAAACTCATTAAAGCATTAATGTATTCCTTATAGAAGAAACAAATGATAATTAACTTATTAATAACCCATCATATAATTACCCCCCCCCCCCCTCCTCCGCCTCTGATCCCTGCACCTGACGGGTTCACAGTGGTCACGTCATCTTGCTCTATTGAACACCTGAAGAAGGTGGATTGCTTCACTATTCTGGCAAATCGCCCGATGGTGCTGGTTGTGGTAATGACCCGCGAAACGCCACGGTACTACTTGAATTGTGGATTTACTCTCCAACACACCGATGGGCTGAAGAAGGAACTGATTGGCGCCTTGTTTAGTTGACAAACCTTACTGGCTGTGTCGGGTGGTGGAGGGTAGGGACACATTTATACTTACGCGATCTAACCCAAAAAACGTTATCATGAATAATATTGGTCGCGAAAGCCTATATATTAAATTTATCCTTCATTCACCCATCAGCGATCCACTCAATTCTCTCGTTCATTTTCCCCTCCAGCCATTCATTAATCCAGTCATACTTCCACTCATTCCCCCGCATGAATGACGTCATTAACCCATTCATTCATTCCCTGCTTAATTCATTCCCTGCCGCCGTGTCTCCCCTCCTCCCGCTCCCGCTCACACCAATTCCTCTCCGCCCCAACCTCCACTTCCAAACTCTCCCTCACTTTCGCTTCCTCTATAAAGAGCCGCAGCGGGGGTGGAGTAGACGAGGGGGGGGGTCACTCTATCCCGGGCCTTCGATCCCTGAAGGTGCGGGGTGGGGGGCGCTTAAATAGACCGAGGGGACCTCAGGGGGTCTCATCTGACATTGGCCGCGGACCTCGAAATTATTTCCGTTGACTCCCCCCACCCCCGCCACCTCTATCTCCTCTTCTCTCTTCCTCTCCATTTATCTTCTCTGCCCCTCCTACCCCCTCCCTCCTCCCCTCTCCCTGCAGCTATCGCGTTGCGGTTTAAACCTCATTGCTTTGCAGGAAACAGCGAAGCAAAAAAAAACGCAAAATCGTACCCAGAGCGTTTCACCTTCAACGATAGCGGAACGCAAGTGGGGGCGGGGCTGGAGTGGGGGGAGAGGGCGGGGTGGGGGTAGCAGCGCCCAATGCACGGCTATTTGTGTAGTGTCGGGGCAGTACTAAAGGGGGAGTGTTGTCACGTGTTGTATAGTGTCGGGGCCCGCACCAAAGGCCACCAGGGGCCGCCAGTGGCCCGGGGACCTTGCGATGAAGAAAGCCGCTTCGGTGGGATATGTGTGACCATCTCGATTCTCAATCCGCGGTCTCCCCGTGGCTCCAGGCCGAGGGAGCTACAACTCGAGCCGTGCATCGATCGGGTCAACGACCCGCGGGTGACCCCCACGCGGGGCCGTTGGGGTGCGGCCCGGGCCGTGACGCGCCGACGGTGATCCGTCTCGCGCCCGAGCGGCGACTTCACTTGCGGCCCGGCTTGCGGGCGACTCGCGGATACTCGACACGAGTCGGCGGGGCCCTTAACGACAACCCCCGCCTCGCCCGGCTCCCCGGCCTCGGGTTGAAGCGTGCAGCTGGCGCGGTGCAGCGCAGCGCAGTGCAGCAAAGCGCTGTATAGCACTGCGATGTGCAGCACAGCGTGGTGCAGCACTGCGTGGTGCAGCACTGCGTTGTGCAGCACAGCGTGGTTCAGCACAGCGTGGTGCAGCACAGCGTGGTGCAGCACTGCGTGGTGCAGCACAGCGTGGTGCAGCACAGCGTTGTGCAGCACAGCGGTGTGCAGCACTGCGTGGTGCAGCACAGCGTGGTGCAGCACTGCGTGGTGCAGCACTGCGAGGTGCCGCAAATCCGCAGCGATGAGAAGGAAGCGCTGAGATGAACAATGCTGGATAAATACTCAATTTATTAATTCACGTATAAATTATTTGCCACCTCTACACAAAGTACCGGTTTATACGGAGGGGTCTGAGTTCCTAGACAATACCTGCGAATCATCAACACGCGAACGGCTGAACGCGAACAACGATTGACAGCCGAGACGTGACGCGCGCCGCTCAGGGCCACGAGGTGGGTGGCCTCCTCACTCGGCGGTCCCGCCCGAGGTGGCGCCGCTTCACCGCTTCCACTTTCTCCACGTGGCCAACAACGGTGAGTGATGCGATAACCGTTTGAGATGAGTGCGGGATGAACGGGCAATTGACTCTCGTTGGCCGTGTAAACAGATGGGATGCGACTCAAGCTGTGTGATCCACGGTGGTGCCGAGTGCTGTCCCTGGCCCATGGACTCGACAGAGCGGACGTGACATCAAGATGCACCCCGAACGCGTCTCCCACACACTGCGCGATCCGTCTCACTCATAAACACTCCTCGTAAACTCCCACGCGTACTATTCAGTTGTGCCACGCGTGTACGTGGAAGAGAGATCTTCACGGTGTGTGTGCGTGTGTAGCTGTGTTTGCCACGTGCTGGGGAGGACCATCACACGAAACGTCGCCTGTTATATATTTTTCTTTTAAGGCCATAAACACGGTGCTGTTATTGACGAATGTGTTGACTTATCGTTGTTTTTGTTTGTACACCACCACTGCCAACGCAGCAACAGCTTTTGTTGTGCAGGGTGTACTCAGTGTAACACATGCATATAGCTTACATAGACTGCTGGGACTAGTGCTCTTAACGAGAACCAATTACGGCGCATGATGAGAAAGCGTGATCAGCACCACGTCTGGCAGCGTTTGCTTCCTCTCCGCTGATGTTTGCAGGCTGAGTCGACCTAGGAGAATTCGAGCAACGGGTTCAAAGGGAAAAATTCGCTACCGATTTTAGCCGTGGTCTTGGAATCTAACTCAGATCGTCGCTTGGTGCGTAGCGCAGCTTGAGAATCATTACGCCACCTCTCGCCACAGAATGTCTTAATTACATTCATTCGGCCAGGAGAGCGACAATTAGTCCTAGGACTCTTGTATTTTAAGATGTATTCGGCCAATTGATGATGAGTGTCTTTTCTACACGTGGGAGGAAACCCACGCGTTCCGTTGGAAGCAACACTCCGTCCTCGTACAAATGGAAAAAAGAGGGAGATTAGTCCACTAACTAACGGACACACGCCCACACATACGCGCACGTGCGTGTGGAAACGTGATCATAATAGCTCACGAAGTCAAGGAAAATCATCCTTCACCATCGTCAGGGCGATGGTGGTGATCTCGCGTGCACACTAACAATCAATCGTGAGGTCAACTCACGCGGAAAACATAAAAAAGAACACTCGTTTTAACTGTACCTATAAATACAAATTGCCCCGCTCAGTATTTTTTTTAGCCATGAACTTTAACTCGTGAGATACGTTCAATCACGCACGCATTGAGCGCTACAACATGACGCACGCCTACAGAAACAACTGCAGAGAGATGCAGGCTGGGCTACAGTGAAGGGACACGGTGTCGGCGCGTAGCTAACACCCTCGGGTGTAACGTGGGGGTATGGAGGGGGTATTTTGTGATTACTTTAATCCCCAAAGCTGCATTTTACAAGGCCACTCTCGGCCAGAAAGGGCTTTCAATTAGTAATAATGTTCAGTTCCTTTGTGATCACGTCGGGCTGTTTGACCTCACCCACCACGGGGTTGACCGCCACTGAGTTGGTAAACAGGACGCCAAAGGAGCGGAATCAGATATCCGACTAACCACTGACGTCAGCCGCGGTCGCGGGAATCGAACTTTGTTGCGCTAAGGACTGCACCACCGCTCCACACAATGGGCTGTGTTTACCTGCTTGTGTATAAATGAGCGCGTCTCTCTAATTGTATGGTGATGATTATGATGCCCCCCTATCGAGACGAAGGTAATTGTAGCTCGGCGCCTCACAACACATTCGGGGAGGGTTTCAATTAACCGTGAGTCGTTGAGCACGTGGAGGCGATTGAGATCATGATAAAGGGTTGTAGAGTCGATTATGCAGACAAATCATGAAATCCTGAATCTCTCTAAAGCAACAGCATCCCCCCCTCCCACTCCAGCCCCCCCCCCGCCCCACACTCGAGTAACACGCGCTATCGCAGATTCATTAGCATTTCGTGTTTTTCTCGATACGGGTCGAGGATGCGGTTAACAAGGGGAAGGAGGTAGCATTCGTGTGAACGGTGAAGGCGCAGCCCTGCAAATGCGCGCTCACGCCACTGCTGGCTGAAGAAGCCTCCGACCGAGGGAGCTGCGGAGAGCCCCGCGCGGGTGTGGCGGCCTCTTGCTCCACGCTGTGGAGCGTGCGCTTGTGGTCGCGAGTGAACGTCGCGAAGGCAAAGGTCCCCCGTGTAGCCTTTCAAAGCATTGTTGGGGCAAGTGCTGTTAGCGAGCACCTATTCAGTGCGGCAGGGCGCACGAGAGGGAGGTGCGCACCGGTTCCACCGCCCGACCGCCTTTCAGTCGCCAGTGGGCACGCGTGATATCCGATCCTCGTTTAAGGCTGAGTTGACCTAAGAGAGGGCGTAGGAGAAGTCCGCCGACACGACGCCTGGGAGTCATCGGACGCAGGTGGCAGAAGAGAACGGTGCGTGAACCGCCGCGCCATCGGCACCGACACCGCGCCCTCGGCCACCGCAGCCGTCACCATCCTCGTCAACATCGCCATTGTCGTCGTCGGCGTTCGTTGTGGCTGTCGAAGCAGCAAGGGTGGGCTCCACCTCGCCTCGTCCGCGCGGGTCACATCCTCAGAACCTCGTAAATGCATTCCTGGCTCGTGAACTCCTCGGGTGCGCACAACCCTGTGGCACATGGCAAGTCACGGGTGGGGGGTAGCAGGGGGGGGGGGCGTTGGGGGGGGGCGCGTTTGTTAGGGGGGTTTGCAGGGGAGGGGGTGGATGGTGGGTGGAGGTCTCGACTGGGAGTCTGGATGAGCGAGAGTAAGGGTGGGAGGTGATAGGGCACAGCTGTAGCAGCGTATTTGCCTCCTTGTTGCAGAAGTTCGCGGTTCGGAAAAAGCAGCCGCCCTGACTAATTCTGCGACGTGTATTAGCAAGTCTCGCTTCATAGCGGACCTCGTGACGTTATACGAAAAAGTGTCGGCCATTGCGTGTAGGTGCGTCACGGTCCAAATTTGTCAAATTTGAAAGAAAATAAAAATCACCCGAAAATGTTTGAATTGGGATCACAGACAGCAGTACCGCCTCCTGCTGTGACACCACCGCAGGCTGCTCCTGTGAGGCAGCGGCGCCTCCACGCAGGTCAGGCACCCCGCGCTCTGGGAACGACAGCGCCCGTACCACGTGCACGCGGTGATCGGATGATTCCAGGTGATGGTTTGATCACGTGGAGCCGGAACAAGCAGGCGCGAGATCGGAGCGTGTGGAATGGTGGTTACGCGACAATGGAAAACGTGTGTGGGTGGAGAGCTGGGTGTTTGTGTGGGTGGGTGGAGGTTGTGGTAAGGGAGGTGTGTGTGTGGTGGTAAGGGAGGTGTGTGTGTGGTAAGGGAGGTGTGTGTGTGGTAAGGGAGGTGTGTGTGTGGTGGAGAGCTGGGTATCTGTGTGGGTGAGTAGCAGGCGCGGTGCTGGCAAACGATCTCCCCGTGTGCCACAGTGACGACCTTCACAGGTGCTACTCGCTAACAGCACTCGCCCCAACAGTCTGTTAAAGGCTATAGGGGGATCTTTGTCTCGTGTGAGCAGTGAATTCAAGGGGTGAGTGGAGGGAAGGCTATGGGGACAATCGTACTCCCTTGGAATCCTAACAGTTGGTACTTTATTGATATTTAGCAGAAACAAGACGTTTGTTGTGTTGTTATTGTTAAAGTAGGGCACTTAAAAAGCTATTTGTAATGTAGCGACTGCCCCATCGCCGCCCCCGTTGAGACTTGGAGAGCGTCTCTCCCCGTCTCTGGTGTGTAAGTGTATAATATGTGTGTGGTACGTGTGGGTGGAGAGTGTGAGTGGTGAGTGTGTGTGGCTTCCAAGTGCACCTAGTCTGGCACAGGCGCTGCGGCGACGACACCGAAACTTTAGTGGCGAGTGGGCGGCGGTGACTCTTGCTTGCGTGTGCGAGCTGTCGTTGACGCTAAGCTAGCGTGGTGGGTGTGAATGGTGCGCGTGGGTGGTGAGCATGGGTGGTGAGCGTGAGTGGTGAGCGTGAGTGGTGAGCGTGGGTGGTGAGCGTGAGTGGTGAGCGTGGGTGGTGAGCGTGGTTGGTGAGCGTGGGTGGTGGGCGTGAGTGGTGAGCGTGGGTGGTGAGCGTGGGTGGTGAGCGTGGCTGGTGAGCGTGAGTGGTGAGTGTGGGTGGTGGGTCTGTGCTCGGGTCGCTCACCCCCCCCTCCCCACGTCTCGTCCCAGGTGCTGGCCTTGTGGTCCACGGAGTCCACGGACTCATAGGCAGGATTGTCCCGCATGCTGCACAACCGTGCTCCTGGACTCGCCATGCCACAAGGGAAAGTTTTAACTAAAGCCACAAAAACAAACACAACAACAACATCTCAGCGTGCCTAGCAAGGCGATGTTGAATAATCCTTTCCAGGACCTTTCCCAGCACACTGAGGAGTGAGATGCCCCTGTAGTTGTTACAGTCTGTGCGGTCCCCTTTCTTAAAGAAGGGGACTACCAGGGCATCCTTCCAGTCCTGTGGAACCCGTCCAGTGGTACAGACAGTTGTTATGATGTCATGTAGGGCAGTCTGTGCACAAACGCCACCCTCCCTCAGCATTTCGCTTGAGGGATCATCTCTGCCCGGTGCCTTTCCTGGCCTCAGACTCTGGATCGCCTTCAGTACTTCCTCAACAGATGGCACCTCAGCCAGCCACTCACAGGGGGTGACTTCTTCCAATGTTTGAGGCACCGCAGCCTCGGCAAGGTCATCTCCACTTTGCCCACGTTGTTATCCAGGCTGAGGGATGGCCCTCCCCCAGGACCTCACAGAAATGCTCAGCAAATCTGCAAACCTGTTCCTGGGGGGCAGAGATTGGATCACCATTCTTTCCTCCTGCCCCGAGTAGAGGACTGTCCATCCCTCATGGTGCCAGGAGCCAGAGCCGGTCCACTGGACCCCCTGAATACCGCAGAGATCCAGACGGTACCGGTCTGGCTCCTGACAGAGGAGTGGTCACCTCTCCTCCACAGTGAGCGTTTGAACATTCCACGTGGCCACCCGCAGTGGCTTTTTGCTGTTTCTGGAGGAACCCCGAGAGTAAGGATTCAATCTCCTGGCTACGCCAAATGGGGTTTGGCCAGGAGACGTCATAGACGCCTGTCTCCCCGGGGCCTCCGGCACAAGCTTAGCTCGATATTTTTACGTGGTTTGGTGGTCATTTATTGAAGGTGGAGGTGTTACCAGCCCCTCGCACCCGTCCAGAGACCCCGTTGGCCGCTGTGGTGGCAACAAACGCCATGAAGGGGAATGGCAAATCGAAATTGGCCCTCTCCCCGTGGCACTGCTCACCACAGCGATACCGTCCAGCACCAACGAGGAGGTAGGGGGTTGTTTTGCCAGATGGTGAGTGAGGATGGTGAGTGTGGGTGGTGAGTGTGGGTGGTGAGTGTGAGTGGTGATTGTGAGTGGTGAGTGGTGAGTGTGGGTGGTGAATGTGGGTAGTGAGTGTGGGTGGTGAGTGAAGAGTGTGGGTGGATAGTGTGATTGGTGAGTGTGGCGAGTGTGGGTGGTGGGTTTGTGCTCGGGTCGCTCACCCCCCCCTCCCCGCGTCTCGTCCCAGGTGCTGGCTTTGTGCTCCACGGAGTCCACGGACTCATAGGCAGGGTTGTCCCGCATGCTGCACAACCGCCCTCCTGGACTCACCACGCCGCAAGGGAAAATTTTAACCAAAGCCACAAAAACAAAACATACATACACAAACACACATACAAACACACATACAAACACACATGCACACACACGCACACACATACGCACACACACACATGCACAAAGATCAAAGATCCCCCGTATAGCCTTCACAGGCTGTTGAGGCAAGTACACGCCACACCAGGTACTCATTTGAGGTTGAGTCGACTTAGGGGAGGCGCAGGACCAGTTCAGATAGTCGTCACTTATGTTGGCCATGAGCGGGGAAACGAACTGGGGCCACCTGGTTTGTAGCAGCGCGCTAGCCACTACACTACCGCCCCCCAAACACACGTACATATACTTACACACACATATACACACACAACAACAACCGCCATTCGCCACTATACACACACACACACATACACACATAAACACACACAAACATACACAAACGCGCACACGCGCACACAAACACCTAGAGGCTCGCCTCTAGCCCCTAAATGCGCGACCACTCAGAGACTCACTGAGCAGTGTCCGTGTCAAATCAGAAACACAAGGTACAGCAGTGCGACTTTGACCTTGCAACCCAAACTATGGACCATATCGTGAAGCGCTGCGGTCTGCGCTCCTTCAACGGAGGAGGATGGGGAAGAGCGCGACTCGACACCAACTCTCTCTCTCTCTCTGCTCAAGTCCTCTCGTCGTGGGAGCAGCAGATCTCGAAATTGGCGTCTAGCTCCTGGACAGATTGCTGCTGTCATCGTGTACCTGTGTTGAACTTCTTTCGTAACTTACGTATCGAACCGTGCTAATCGGAGGTTCGGGGGAAGGACAACGAACTTATCAGAAGAAGAACAAAAATTCTAAAGAGATGCGCCAGAGTAGAAAACCAGAGCGTGCGGTATAGGAGCTGTCGCGAGTGGTGGGATGGGCCTGGACAAAATGCACAAACTATGTGAGCTGGGCATCGTCACGGCCCCCCTCGTACACACGGGGGGTGAGAGAAGACGAGGTTTTATCTACTACGCGTAATGTCATTGAAGGCCGAGCCGACCTAGGAGAGGGCGCGGGAGAGGTTCGGTCACTTTCCACCGACACTGCGGCAGAAGGGAACGACTCTGATTGTCGCACGGTGCGGGAACCACGCAGACGATGGGAATGGATTATTTTATCCAATGATTGAAGCGTGGGTCACTTCGCCTCGTGCGCCAAAATGCCAATGTTGTGTCGTAAACGCTCCTCCACCCGACGAGGCCAAATAAATAAACAAATGTGTCACGTGAACCGCACGTGCCTGCTTCAGCACAGCGGTGTTGTGTGGTGCGGGAGAGCGATCCACAATCCACGATGTGCTCAGCGAATGAGTGAATTAATGCGCTGGGTGAGCGTGGTCACGGGTTCGGGGACTGTCCCGCGCTGGCTGCCCTCTGCGTGGCCCCCCTCACCTCGCCGCCACGAGAGGGGCTCCTCCCGAGCACCATTCAGGTCAATGGAGTGGTAGATCGGGTTCACGCGTATCAGTCCTGAGAGGGGGAGACGCGGCGAGACATCGACGTGAACGTCAACTCGCAGCGCTGCGCGGCGGCCGCGCGGTGTCCGCTGGCGTAGAGAGACAAGGAGAGACCACGTGGTAGAGAGACAGAGAGACAGAGAGAGACCAGGTCGTAGAGAGACAGAGAGAGACCACGTCGTAGAGATACAGAGAGACAGAGAGAGACCACGTCGTAGAGAGACAGAGACAGAGAGAGAGACCACGTAGAGAGACAAAGAGAGACCACGTCGTAGAGAGACAGAGAGACCACGTCGTAGAGAGACAGAGAGAGACCACGTCGTAGAGAGACAGAGACACAGAGAGACCACGTCGTAGAGAGACAGAGAGACAGAGAGAGACCACGTAGAGAGACAGAGAGAGACCACGTCGTAGAGAGACAGAGAGGAGGAACCGCAGATGAGCAAGAAGGCAGCACCAGCTACGCGGCGAGGAACGGACGCAACTAACAATTTCCCGAGCTCTGCGATCCTCTGTATACTAAGATGTCATCGGCCAAATAATTCGGGTTTACACGTGGGAGGAGACCGGGGAATGCCAAGAAACCTACAAGTGTGAGGAGGCAACATTGTATCCCATGCAGATGGAACAATTTGAGTCCACATTCTGCTTTACCGCCTTCTCTGAGCGAACGATCACGGATAGATAGAAGGGAGTGTGAGTGGACACGAGTGTGAGTGTGTGTAACAGTGTGAGTGGACACGAGTGTGAGTGTGTGTAACAGTGTGAGTGGATACGAGTGTGAGTGTGTAAGAGTATGAGTGGGTACGAATGTGAGTGGGTTCAAAAGTGAGAGTGTGTAAGAGTCTGAGTGTGTGTAAGAGTGTGCGTAAGAGTGAGTGTTTGAGAGTGTGAGAGTGTATAATATTGTGAGTGTGTAAGAGTGTGAGAGTGTGTAAGTAAGAGAGTGTGTAAGAGTGTGAGTGTGTAAGAGTGTGAGTGTTTAAGAGTGTGAGTGTATAAGTGTGTGGCTGTGTAAGAGTGTAAGAGTGTGTAAGTAAGAGAGTGTATAAGAATGTGTAACAGTGTGAGTGTGTAAGAGTGTGTGAGTGTGTAAGAGTGTGATTGTGTAAGAGTGTGAAAGTGTGTAAGAGTTTGAGTGTGTAATAGTGCGAGTGTGTGTAAGAGTGTGTAAGAGTGTGAGTGTGTAAGAGAGTGTGTAGGAGTGTAAGAGTGTGTAAGAGTGTAAGTGTGTAAGAGTGTGAGTGTGTGAGAGTGTGTAAGAGTGTAAGAGCGTGAGAGTGTGTAAGAGTGTGAGTGTGAGCGTGTAAGAGTGTAAGAGTGTGTAAGTAAGAGTGTAAGTGTGTAAGAGAGTGTGTAAGAGTGCGAGTGTGTAAGAGACTGTGTAAGAGTGTGAGTGTGTAAGAGTGTGTAAGAGTGTGTGTGTAAATGTGTGAGTGTGTAAGAGTGTGAGTGTGTAAGAGAGTGTGTAAGAGTGTGTAAGTAAGAGAGTGCGTAAGAGAGTGTGTAAGAGTGTGAGTGTGTAAGAGTGTGAGTGTGTAAGAGAGTGTGTAAGAGTGTGTAAGTAAGAGAGTTGTAAGAGAGTGTGTAAGAGTGTGAGTGTGTAAGATTGTGTGTAAGAGTGTGAGTGTGTAAGAGTGTGTGTAAGAGTGTGAGTGTGTAAGAGAGTGTGTAAGAGTGTGAGAGTGTAAGTGTGTGTAAGAGTGTGTGTGTGTGTAAGAGTGTGAGTGTGTAAGAGTGTGAGTGTGTAAGAGTGTGTAAGAGTGTGAGTGTGTAAGAGAGTGTATAAGAGTGTGAGTGTGTAAGAGTGTGTGTAAGTGTGTAAGAGTGTGAGTGTGTAACAGTGTGAGTGTGTAAGAGTGTGTAAGAGAGTGTGTAATAGTGTAACAGTGTGTAAGTAAGAGAGTGTGTAAGAGTGTGAGTGTGTAAGAGATTGTGTAAGAGTGTGTAAGAGTGTGTGTGTTAGAGTGTGAGTGTGTAATAGTGTGTAAGAGAGTGTGTAAGAGTGTGTAAGAGTATGTGTGTAACAGTGTGTAAGAGTGTGTGTGTAAGAGTGTGTAAGAGAGTGTGTAAGAGTGTGTAAGAGAGTGTGTAAGAGTCTGTAACAGAGTGTTTAAGAGTGTGTAAGAGTGTGTGTAAGAGTGTGTAAGAGAGTGTGTAAGAGAGTGTGTAAGAGTGTGTAAGAGAGTGTGTAAGAGAGTGTGTAAGAGTGTGTGTGTAAGAGTGTGTAAGAGTGTGTAAGAGAGTGTGTAAGAATGTGTAAGTGTGTAAGAATGTGTGTGTAAGAGTGTGTAAGAGAGTGTGTAAGAGAGTGTGTTAGAGTGTGTAAGAGTGTGTAAGAGAGTGTGTAGGAGATACGTACCGCAGTCGCCATAGAACGTGTCCTGGTTGCCACTCGCAACCAGCAGCGTCACTTCTGGGAGGAGGAGAGAGACGCGCGGAACGCGATGAATGAACAATTCTATGAATGAAACATTTAATGAGTGAAATAGTTAATTGACGGGTGAATAAAACAATCGAATGAGTTCATGGCTGTGATGGAATTAATGACTACATGCCCGAATGACTGAAATTTGCGACTGATTGAATGAGGCAATTGCCGAAAGAATGAGTAAAAGAGTGAACGAAGGAAGGAAGGAATGAGCGAATGAGTCGTGGCGCGCGTGCGAGGCGCGTACCGGGCGGGGTGCGCGGGGCGCCGCGGGGGTGCGGCCGGACCACCGCGTAAATCGGCTCCCGGTGCTCGGGCGGAGGTCCTGCGGAGCGGCGGTCGAACCGGTGAGTTTCAACATAGCGGACGATTTCCATTAATTTCAACGCCCCCCTCCCGTCCCCTCCCACACGTAACAGACGAATGGCTCCCTGCCCGTGTGTCGGCGTGGATGCGGGGCTCCTCTGAGCTCACCCAGCGCGTAGAGGCGCCGCTCGTTCCCGGAGTCGAACTCGTAGCTCTCCTGCGCGGCGAAGTGAAACCTGCGGCCACGATCACATCAGGAATGATATAGCAACGAGAGCCGTAGACTCGCACAGAGAGTCGTAGACTCTATAAAAAAACACAAACTCATACCGAGACTGAGAGACTCACACAGAGACTGAGAGACTCACACAGAGACTGAGAGACTCACACAGAGACTGAGAGACTCACACAGAGACTGATAGACTCACACAGAGACTGAGAGACTCACACAGAGACTGAGAGACTCACACAGAGACTGAGAGGCGCACACAGAGACTGAGAGACTCACACAGAGACTGAGAGACTCATACCGAGACTGAGAGACTCACACAGAGACTGAGAGGCTCACACAGAGACTGAGAGACTCACACAGAGACTGAGAGACTCACACAGAGACTGAGAGACTCACACAGAGACTGAGAGACTCACACAGAGACTGAGAGACTCACACAGAGACTGAGAGACTCACACAGAGACTGATAGACTCACACAGAGACTGAGAGACGCACACAGAGACTTAGAGACTCACGTAGAGAGCTGTGGGCGCACATTTAGAATCATAGACTCAAACAGGGAGCCATTGACTCACAGAGACTCATATACTCACATAGAGAGTGACCCATTCACAGAGAGCCACAGACTCACACAAGGTGCCATCGGGTCACACAGAGAGCCACAGGCTTACAGAGAGACTCACGGACTCATATAAGACTCACAGAAACCCACATACTCGTACAGAGACTCATACAGGTGCCGGCTCAGTGTATCTGACACAGCCATTATGAACCTCGTTAGCCTCAGAGCTGCGGGGGCGCTTTGCTCACCTGCTGCGACGCGGGAAGTGTGGTGTCCCTGCTGCACACGGGGGGACACGCGCGGCGTGGTTCGGTTAGACACGCGGGAGGAGTCTCCAACTCGTTGTGTGCATGCTGCAGCCGAGTGGATTGTTGTTGTTGTTGTGTGCATGCTGCGAATCGAGTGGATTGTTGTTGTTGTGTGCATTCTGCGCATCGAGTGGATTGTTGTTGTTGTGTGCATTCTGCGCCTCCAGTGGATTGTTGTTGTTGTGTGCATGCTGCGCACCGAGTGGATTGATGTTGTTGTTGTTGTGTGCATGCTGCGCTTCGAGTGGGTTGTTGTTGTGTGCATGCTGCGCTTCGAGTGGATTGTTGTTGTTGTTGTGTGCATGCTGCGCTTCGAGTGGGTTGTTGTTGTTGTGTGCATGCTGTGCTTCGAGTGGGTTGTTGTTGTTGTTGTGTGCATGCTGCGCTTCGAGTGGGTTGTTGTTGTTGTTGTGTGCATGCTGCGCTTCGAGTGGATTGATGTTGTTGTTGTTGTTGTTGTTGTGTGCATGCTGCGCTTCGAGTGGATTGTTGTTGTTTTGTCGCGGTATGGGTGAGAGATGGCAGGAGGCCTGGGGGAAGAGGTCATCATCTAGCAGTGGATTGAGCATGGCTGCTCATTAAGGCTTAAATGATGATGTTTGAGATGAGATGTATTGCACGACTGAGTTCCGAAGGCATCAAGCACATGACACTTTACGTGTGTTATTATCACCGTACTTGTCTTATCATGAACGCATTTTTGTATTCGCGCTGGCGTGCTCATAGCGCAAGGCATTCCCAAAGAGAAGGCGCCGACTGTGCTTCACAGACACAGTCGGCGGTGTATCATCCCCGCGTCCTCTCGCTCTCTCTCTCTGTGAGAGATGTCATGCGTCACTAAGTTACGAGGGAGCGAGCAAACACCGCGCGGCGCGGGGCGCAGCGTTGGCGCGTTGTTGCCGTAGCGAGCACGGCTACGCCTGGCACGAGGTGGCCACGGCCGTTCTGCGCAGTCCCCACTGAGTAATCGATGGGGCTATTTGGGGGGGGGGGGGCTGCTACCTATGATCGAGTGGCCGCCCTTGTCCTTCCTCGCACGGGACCTGCGCACCGTCAACACCAGCAGAGCGCTCAGCACCACCAGCGCCGCAGCGCCCGCCAGCAGATAGAACCTCGCGGGGAGGTCTCGGTCGGAGGTGCTGGACTCGCGTCCCGGGGCGATGGCACCCCCGCGGGGGGACCTGGTGGTGGCCGGGCCCTCGGAGTCGATGAGTCCCCCGGCTTGCGTCCCGGTCGTGTGAGAGGCGGGGGTCGCCGTGGCGAGGTCAGGACAGCGCCAGCGGCTCGAGGTGTGGGTGGCTGCGGGAGGGAGGTGAGGGTGGTGAGGGAGGAGGAGAGAGAGGTGTGGGAGTGTAGTGAGGGTGGTGAGGGTGATGTGGGAGGAGGTGTGGGAGTGCAGTGAGGGTGGTGAGGGTGATGTGGGAGGAGGTGTGGGAGTGCAGTGAGGGTGGTGAGGGTGGTGAGGGAGGAGGTGTGGGAGTGGAGTGAGGTTGGTGAGGGTGATGTGGGAGGAGGCGAGAGAGATGTGGGAGTGGAGTGAGGGTGGTGAGGGTGATGTGGGAGGAGGTGTGGGAGTGGAATGAGGGTGGTGAGGGTGATGTGGGAGGAGGTGTGGGAGTGGAGTGAGGGTGTTGAGGGTGAGTTTGTCCACGCTATTGCGGTTTGCTTGAAAGGGGTCCGCGGAATTTAGGCGGAGCGCTCTTGCCAACAACGTCGGACAATGCCGCAGCATTGGTTCACACGAGCTCGACTCGTGCAGATGAGACCCCGAAGGTCGAAGCCGGTACGGAGGGTTACTTTACATAAACCAATGTCCTTGCTGCCTGGCGATTGCACTCGCAGTTCTGTTGACATGAGAAGCGGGACCGTGCGCGTGCGGGCTGCAGAGCCGCGATAGCGAACGGCAGCAGCAGCCGCGCTGCGTCACCGCGTGGGAGGTAAGAGGCCGAAAATAAATAATAAATAAGAATTTGTTTGTAAAAATAATGCGATAATCGCTTCATCAACCCACGTGTCACGAATCATGAAGCCAACATCTGGACGCAGGGTGTGGGAACCGAGGGGGAAGGTTTGAGATGGGGGCGGTGGGAGAGGGCCAAGAAATAAGCGGTGCCCCCTAACTTAACATTCTTTATGGGGCCCCCTTACCTCTTACCCATGGACCCCCTTGGTTACTCCACGTGGACCCCCTTGACTACTCCACATGGCCCCCCTTGGTTACTCCACATGGCCCCTCCTTGGCTACTCCACATGGACCCCTTTGACTACTCCACATGGACCCCCTTGACTACTCCACATGGGCCCCCTTGACTACTCCACATGGGCCCCCTTGACTACTCCACATGGACCCCCTTGGTTACTCCACATGGACCCCCTTGACTACTCCACATGGACCCCCTTGGTTACTCCACGTGGACCCCCTTGGTTACTCCACATGGCCCCCTTGGTTACTCCACATGGACCCCTCGGTTACTCCACATGGACCCCCTTGGGTACTCCACATGGACCCCCTTGGTTACTCCACATGGACCCCCTTGACTACTCCACATGGACCCCCTTGACTACTCCACATGGACCCCCTTGACTACTCCACATGGACCCCCTTGGTTACTCCACATGGACCCCCTTGGTTACTCCACATGGACCCCCTTGGTTATTCCACATGGCCCCCTTGGTTACTCCACATGGACCCCCTTGGCAACTCCACGTGGACCCCCTTGGCTACTCCACGTGGACCCCCTTTGTTATTTCACATGTGGCTCCGTTGCGTCTCTACACGGTTCCTCTTTGCTTGGCGATATTGACCAAGGCAGTCGAGTTCAATTCAATGCGCTGCTGTTTCCCATCGCTGTATTAACTCGTTCATCAACTTCGACGCCAGAGTCGTCGCGGCTCTTTGCTCCCAACTGACTCCGACGCACGCGCGCCTCGTCAGTCCCCGTCGCAGCGAGCGGCGGTAGCGAACGAGAGGTCGAGAGTTCACCTCGGGGCGCGCGGCGTTTCGCGTCCCTCCCGGCCCCCCACTCACTGGAGAACGTGAGGCAGAAGGAGGCGGCGGCTCGCCCCTCCTCGTCCTCGCACTTCCACGCGCCCTGGCGTCGCGCCTGCACGTCCGTGATCTCGACGCGGAGCCCCGAGTCGACGATTCGGACTGGGCTCGACGAGTTGTCCCCCTCCGAGGGGATCGAGGCGCCGTTGAGCGTCCACGTGATGCGGGGGCCCGTGGCCTGTGGCCTCTCGCCCAGCTGACAGGTCAGGGACAGGTTCGACGACGGCGTCACGGATCCTGGGGGGTCCATGACGATGCGAGCCTTCGCGGAGCAGTCTGCAGGCGACATCGTGAATCGTCGTCGTTATCATCAGCAACGCGTCGTCATCAATATTAAAGCACAGAATCATCGCCGTCATCAATATTAAGAGCAACATTGTCAAATTAACCGTTTCCATCTTCACCATCATCTATTCTCAACATTCACGCTCATCACCATCCAGTGACACTCATCATCATCATCACCGTCACCCTCGCGCGCTTCTATTCACGCCTGTACCTGGCGAGACTCGCAGCCGCGTATTCACCCAGTCCGATTGGACTCGCCCCCAGGAGTCTCCCGAGGAGTCCCCCGATGACTCCCCCGAGCCCCTTTGCAGCATGAAGATCCCCGAGTCCGTGAAGCGCAGATTGCTGACGGTGAGGGTGCAGCGCTTCCCATCCCAATCCGTGCGCACGCGCTCGGCAATGTCCTGCTCCGCGGGGTCGCCCTTGCACTCCACGTGGTCGGGGATGAAGTGCCACGTGAAGTCGGGGTCCGTGCCCGTGCAGTTCAGGGCCACCGAGCCCCCTTCTGTGCCGCTCGCCTCCGCCAGGCTGAAGGGCACGTGTATGGCCTCGCCAAGGGCTGCAGATGTAAACGGTTATTCATCGATTACAATCTCACGACGATTGATTGACGCAGCGGCTTCGGTTTCGTGGCGCTACGAGGCGTCTCCGTCGGGTTGTTGGCGCGTCGTGTCTCGACCCGATGTCCGACGGTTCGGATCCGCGTGGCGCGAGTTTTTTTGGCAGCATCGAATTCTCGGACGTCGTGGCTGAAGAAGCTCCCATGTAGCACGCGGAGCGAAACGTCGGACATCGCGCCGAGACAGTCGGAAACAGCCGCCGCTGTTTCCGACTATCGTTCAGCGTCTCGGCATGGAACTCCAAACGTTCAGCGTGGACCTCCTTTTGGTTGCGACGCTGTTGGGTGTCATCATTGTTCTCGTCTCAACGGTCAATTCTGGATCGGCAGCATCAGTGCCGTAACGCGAGCCACTGGGCGTGCACCCTCCTTAGCTGTAGGTGACAGTGGTGAGACATGGCGTGCACTACACTCCTTCAGAAGGAAAACATCTACGTAACAGGGGACGTTTCGGGCAATATCCCAACTTCGTGTGCTTTAATAGTAAGAATAATAGTTGAAGTTTCCGTAATGTGCAATGAAAAGAGGACGTTGCCTGAAACGTCGTCTGTTATATATCTTTCCTTTTTATACCAATGTGTTGAGTTGTTGTTGATTAATATTATGAAGCAGTATTTGTTTAAGCGAAAAAAAATCTATGCACCGGTTTCAACCTTCTGGGTCTCATCAGCAACAGCAGCAGTAAGCGTGCGTGTTAAACAAACTGTTGCCGGACCTGCAAATGATATTGGCAGGAGCATTCGAAACAACGTGTGGGGCCCCATTAGACGCGAAACAAGGAGTAGTGGAGTCAATACAACCCCACAAGTTGATCTCTGCTATCTGTTCATTAACATATTTCACCTGGATAACACCTTGAGATTGAACATCAGGTTCGCGTGACTTTAGGGGTTACCGTGGGGGGTTGTGGGTAAAAAATAAATAATACAGCAAGTAGCCAGAAACCCATGTCACGTGTTGTGCTTACCGCTGGCTGCTCAGAGACCGCATTTCCATTACACTTTTGAGGGTTACAAAAACATTTAGGTCAGGTTTCGTGCAAATTAGCACCTTTCACCGGGAAAAAACCCTGCGTAATCTAATCTCGTCGATCTCGCACATTCGAGCCACACAGAGAAGTTAATCAGAGCCAGGGCCCCGAGCGGCACGGGAGCGCGGGCCGCCCCGAGCCCTGGCCCGTGGGGAGGAAGGGGGGTTCAAGTTTGACCCAAGCGCCCCGCGATTGTTTCACGTTGCCCCGCTTCCAAGAATGTCCGGACCATCACGACTTGTCATTATCACCACCACCACCACTACCACCATCATTATCGTCATTATCACCGCCATCGTTGTCGTCATCATCACCATCGTCATCATCAATCACGATTTATCATTCTCGTCGTCATCACGAGCAGCAGCAGCGTTGTCGGTCTGAACGCTGTTGGGCCGGCTTGGAGTCAGGATTATCGGCGTAAGGCACTAACACCAGAGTACAATATATTAATATGATCACATGAACAGTCTCAATAAATAGAGAAGTTATTCACAAAATAAGGCGAGATGGATCAGGCTGGGTGGCACAACAATCCTTGGAACATCGTCCTTGACTGCTCCGGCTGTTATTAATAATCGGGAATGGCTGAGCGCGAGTGAGTGTGATGGAGGGGTGGGAGAAAGGTGGGGGGTAGGGGTGGATAGTGGGGGTCTCACCTGTGTGTGACGCGAGGACCAGGTAGCGGGGTAGGGGTGGATAGTGGGGGTCTCACCTGTGCGTGACGCGAGGACCAGGTAGCGGGGTAGGGGTGGATCGTGGGGGTCTCACCTGTGCGTGACGCGAGGACCAGGTAAAGGGGTAGGGGTGGATCGTGGGGGTCTCACCTGTGCGTGACGCGAGGACCAGGTAACAGCAGCAGCACGCGGCCAGCAGCGCGCTCTGCAGCATCGTGCGGGGTTGGCGCGGACCGCTCAGCTACCTCCCGACTCAGCTTCCCTCGACTCCTCCCTGCAGAATCATTGTGCACAGCCACGCAGGGGAGTCACGAGTGGAGCTCTCTTCACGTGAAACACATCCTACCTGGTGACGCTGCTGGATTGGCAGTGGTGCACAAGCACAAACAACAACAACAACTCAACACACTCGTCAATAACCCTGTGGTCGTGAAAGGAAACAAAGATATATAACTAGTAACGTTTCGGTTAATGACCCGTATTCATGTGTGCTATGAGGAGGCTTTTCGGGGCAGTTAAAGCAGAAACATCAATCAATCAAACTTTATTTCTAAGGCACTATTCGTGCAATAAAATTCTAGACGTGCTTTACAAGCATGAACAAATATTCTTAGTTTTTTAGGTAAAGTCACGTTGAAGAGAAACAACAAAATAACAAAATATATATATAAAACAATAAAAAATTCTCACGACGTTTCGACCATAACTCATAAATTTATTTTTAAAAATAAATAAATGGTTTGCATAAATTTATTTTTAAAAATAAATTTATGCAAACCAACACACCTGATGATGACCGTTTGAGTTATGGTCGAAACGTCGTGAGAATTTTTTATTGTTTTATATATATTTTGTTATTTTGTTGTTTCTCTTCAACGTGACTTTACCGAAAAAACTAAGAATATGAATTACTGCAGTCACGAAAGCTTTAAATCAAAATTTAAGCATGAACAAATTAAGTTAAATTGCACGCAAAATTGAATCACGTAACATTTCTAACAAAGACGTAATACAAATAACACATTCAGAAAAATCCTAATTTAAAGCCAGTTTAAAAAGTTTTTAGATTCATTTCAAAAGTGCTTAATCATTCTGAAGCCCTCAGATCCCCTGGCAGGCTGTGTCGCAGGCGAGGACTGTAAACACTCAACGCCGCTTCTCCCTAGGGTTTGGTTCATTTCTTAAAAGCATGGAAGATATGTATACAGGTGGCAGACCATTCAACCACTTAAAAATCAATGAAAGCATTTTCAAATCACTTGACTTCTTCTTTCGTATGGCAGTGTGAAAAGCAACAGTTTTTATTTTTCTTAACGATCGTCATAAATGAAAGCAAATGTTCCTCATCCAGTACAATGATGTGGGTTTGACGCAGTGTGGATTTCAGCGATATCGCCAGGATGTGCATGGATGGAGCATTCATTGGTGATGTGCTTAGATGGTTTAGACTTCTCCAAAGTCGCAGTTGGGCGATTCTTTGATCTTCCATTTACGGAATGTGTACGCGCATCTGCCGTGTTGTGTTCGAGCGTGGTTCAGTGTGGTCCGTAGTCGTCGTGTTTGACTGGCTGGCAGCCAGTGCAAGGGTCGTAAAATGTGTGTTACGTGAGCGTTGTTACGTGAGCGTTGTTACGTGAGCGTTGTTACGTGAGCGTTGTTACGTGAGCGTTGTTACGTGAGCGTTGTTACGTGCGCGTTACGTGAACGAGTGTTTTTTCTGGTTGCCTCAGAACACGTCCCCCTGCATGGAATTGTACTGCGCAGCAAGAGGCCGAGAAGTTCCCTGTCAGCTCGAAACAAGGAAATGTGAGACGCGATGCGCCACAGCCTCCGAGCCCCGACCCCTCGGTTCAACACTCCAGTCGCGTTCTCTTGCTCAAAGAGCTGGACTGGCTGGTCACGAACCGTCAGAACTCACCAGTTATGGAAAACCTCTGATTGTCCAGTCTCGCTAACGAGCACCTCCTCCTGCACGTGAGTGACCCGATGCAGATCTCTCTCCCTCCCTCTCTCTCTTGGCTTCGATATGATGGACAACCTCGTGGCCACAGCCCCGAGCCGCACGCGAACCACGATAGCAACCGAAGCGAGCACACCGCAGTTGCTCTCTTGTCTCCGCATTGGCCGCTTGTCAAGTGCTGCTGCTGCCTGCTGCCTGCTGTCTGTTGCCTGCTGCTGCCTGCTGCCTGCTACTGCCTGCTGCCTGCTACTGCCTGCTGCTGCTGTTGCTGCTGCTGCTGCTGACCTACAAGGGACTCAATGGGTTAGCCCAGCAGTATCTACAGGAACTTGATCCGTGTTGACTCTCCAACGAGGTCCCTGAGATCTTCAGATCGCCTTCCTCTCAGTACTCAGAGATCAAGGCTCTGTTCCTGGGCTGACCGGGCTTTTATCACTGTGCAGCTGCCAAGCTTTGGAACGCTTTTCCTTTGCTGACAAGACAACCCAAGTCGTTTGCTATATTTTAGTCAATCTTGAAAACTCGCCTCTTTAACCTGGCCTTTAGCCCCTGTCTTGTCCTGGCGTGTACCCTGCAGGTTCTGTTCAATTCCTGATGTTCGTACACGGGGCGCATTGGCGGGATCTACGGATGAAATACGGCTTAGAGATGTAAATTATCATAATATGATTATTATGATCATGATGATGTACAAACGAAAAATGTAAAATTCTCCTCGCGTCAGTATGCGACGGCTGTGGTCACCTCCCAGAACAGAACCGGGCAGCACAGAGCGACTCAGGGCCCCACTAACAAACACGGAGGGGCGGCATCATCCTCCACGCAGCAGCGATGCACCACCACACCGCTACTCCACCCGACTCAATCATCCGGCTCATTAACCACCTCGACGTCAGGTCGCAGCTGTAGCTCTACATCAACAATCAGCCGCAGGAAAAAGAAGACGATGAATAACCGCATAACGCATTAATGTTATTGTTATTATGATTGTCAAAATAATTTCTCACTTAGTATAAAGTTTCACGAACGATGACCTCGATAATCATCGTATTACAAATCGCGCTGAATTAATTATGGTTTCCCATAACCGTCTCACTAAATATCAATTAGAACTAATTATAAGGGCTCGCTCACGATCGTCCCACTCACGATCAATTCTCACCAAATCATCGTCTCAACAACCACTGCCAGACGAGGCATCGTCCAGGCCGCGTGAGATCATTGTTGCACTGATCTCCATCTCCTCTATCGCCAGCTGCCTTCCCTCGACTCATCTCCAAGCTCCCGCTCACTCGGTGTCGCTCTCACGCGCCTCGCCCCTGCAGCGCGAACTCGGACGCGAACAGCTCAGCCGCCACGCGATTACATCGCCACACTGGGAGCGCAAACGCGGCTGTCTGCAGGGATGGGATGCCGACGGCAGCAGCAGCAGCCGCAGCAGCAGCTTCTCGCAAACCGCGTGAATAAGCCGCCTCTCTAGGAACACGCGCGCAGCCACCACCACCGACACCACCGACACCATCACCATCGCTACCACCACCACCGTCGCCACCAGCAACACCACCGACACCACCGACACCATCACCATCGCTACCACCACCACCGTCTCCACCAGCAACACCGCTACCACTGCCACCGCCACCGCCACCACCGCCCAAATAGACTGTTGGGGCAAGTGCTGTTAGCGAGCACCTATGAAGGCCGGCACGGCACACGAAGGAGTGGGTGGCCAGCACCACGCCGACCGCCTTTGTCTCCCTAGTTGTGATATTTACACACCGCACCATCGCCGCCACTAGCGCCTGCTGAAGTACTCACCCACTCGGTCGACTTCTCTTCCAGTTCCTCAATCTCCACGCAGACCGTTTGAGAATGAGGTTCGAATCCCTGGTCGCCGCTGAACCTCGCGTGTCCCGGTTCAGACCCAGGTTGCTCAGAACATTTCCACGTCTCGGTTCGATCTCAGTCCCGAATCGGAGTTTCCCAGTCCATCTTCATTCCCCCGTGCCCTCGGTTCAGTGCCCGCTCTCGGTGTGGCCCCCGATCCTGGTATAGTTTTAGTTTTTATTTTATTCCACCTTTGGCTCGATCTCGGGTCTCAGCTGAACACCGCGCCTAAGGTGCGGCCTCGCGTCTGGGTGCGAGTCCTCGTGGTCAGCTAGACCCTTCGCGCCGACCTGGCTCGATGACCCAACCTCGACCCTCTGTGCCCGTTGGAGTCTCGGGCTCCGGAGAAGCTGCGGCGCTGATCGCCGCCCCCGGCGCTTTCCGCCCGTCCCCAAAAAACCGCGACCGCAGACCCGCTGACGTCACCGCGCGACTCACAGTGAGGTGACGGGCCACGGAAGGACCATTTCCCGAAACGTCAGCCCTGTTATTTATACATTCCCATTTATGCAAATTGTTACATTTATATTTTGTAATATTAATTAATGGGTTTGGCCTATCCTGCCGTACCAGTCTTTGGGGTTATTTGACCATACTTCAACACGATGGTCAATGAAGAAGGGGAGGGGGGGGGGGGAGGTTCAGCGATCAGCCGCTGCTGATTTTAGCCATGGCCGGGAATCAAACCCGGGTCGTAGTGTCACCACCGCCTGTAATCTAGCTCTGTGGAGGCAAAGTTTGGTGGATCGCACAAATGTTGCGAAATTCCCATCCCATGGGCATCGAAGTAGATCCATACATGAGCTCGCCAGGATGTCCGCAACTGACATCTGTGAAAACGAGCTTTATGGCGCATCGGATTCCTCCGGTGTTCATATTCTGATTCAGATTCCGAATATGGCACAGCAGATGTGACTCCACCTGTTACATCTGTATGCCCCCTCGCACGCGTGAGTTTTTTTTTCCGGGTGCTCGGGTTTCCTTGGACAATTGTTGGTGAGGTTGGCTCCTCACCACCGCGTGGCTGCTGCTCCCGCTCATCTGTGGTTCCTCCTCCTCATGGCACCTCTGAGTCATCCTCTCTCGAAGAGAGCGCGAAGCTGATACCGTGCGATGATGACGCGGTGTTACGAGTTGTACAAATTACATGTTTTATTCTTTTAAGCAGTATAACTGCTACACCACAAGTAGTAAATTACGGACCGCAATTTGAAACGATTCTACGCGAGTTTGTAATAAGACAGCGGTGACAAACGACAGTTCGCGAGATGTATGTATTATTTACAATAGGAGAGGCCACGGTGAGCAGTAGAGGTCACTCTTGATGTATAGCGGAGGTCAGAGCTAAGAAGCAGGAGATGCGTGTGGGGTCATCAAGGTCACTTTGTCTCGGGCTGCGAGCTCGCCGTGGGTGCACGCCCAGGGGCCCCGTGGGGCTCGCGCTCGGGGTCACGGAGTCACGGGGCCGCGAGTCGCCACGACGATGACTACATCGCGACGTCCGCGTCACCTCTGACTCCTCCTCTCACTCCTCCGCGATTCCGAGAAATCCGCGCGCCTCCGCCGCGTGGCCTCGCTCTGTCGTTGTTTCACTGCTCATCGCCTCTCGCTCACGCCCCACTCCCGCGCCTTCTCTCGCTCCTCCCTCCCAGTCCGAGTCGCGCCAGGCCGGATGCTGCCCGCCCTGCACAGCGCAACTTTACGAGCTCCCATCTGGCGCTTCCTTGACCTGCCCAATGCCTGCCCAATGCCTGCCCTCAGCAATAGCTCTCTCCTGCCCCCCCCACCCCCATCTCTTGCCCAGCTCTGGCGGCGCTATGAGTGGCGTGACGTCTCTGAGAGCTGGCGGGTGTTGGCAAAGCGCGTGGCTTGTGGAGGCAGTGTGGAGGCAGTGAGCGTTGGTGGATCACACACAGATGGGCTGTGCTACTCCCCTTCCCGTGTGTGGGCGTTGAGGAGGTGCCATACCCTGGCTCGCCAGGAGAAGGCAGTACAACAAGTGGAGTAATCGCCATATATTTCCATCTGTAGGGGGATGGGGTGTTGCCTTCTCGCGTAAGGCGCGGGTTTTCTCCGGATGCTTCGGTTTCCTCCCACATTTGAATAAGAAACTCAGGCCCATCATTAATTGGCTAAAACATCTTTACAAATTAAAAACCCAAGCGGCAGGACCCTCCTGAAAAAGAGTCCTACGACTCAGTGTGGCTTCCCTGGATAAACACGCAGCTCGGTGCTCGTACGGTGGAAAGCGAAGCCGGATTTGCGTGCGCGCGGGGGTGAGATAAGGGCCCCGCGCAGCGCGTGCTCGTGGAGAGATAACGCTGCACAGCGCCGCGGCACAACGCGGAGGCAGCGCGGGGAGGCAGCGCTGCCACGCGGGGCGAAGGGGAGGAGGAGGAGGAGGGTAGCACACAGGCGGCGGTGCTGCTGGCGGTAGTGGAGGTGGAGGTAGTGGAGGTGGAGGTAGTGGAGGTTGTGGTGGTGGTGGTGGTTGTGGCTATGCCGCACGTGGCCTGTAATTCAACCGCGAGGGTTTTTGGTGAAACTGAATTGCCCGTGGGCGTCGAGATACACGATCCGTATCCTGGCTCGCCAGGAGATGGCGGTACGAAAAATGTGGACTCCATCTGTTCCATCTGTATGTGGATAGCGTGTTGCCCCCTCGCGCAAGGCGCGGATTTTCTCCGGGTGCTCCTGTTTTATTCCAACATGTAACCACTCACTTGGCAGGTAACACCTTCATAAATAGTGGACCGCAGAGCTTGGGCATTTCTCCTTCTCCTCATGACGCCTCTGCGTCTCTGTCGGTCTGTATCTCTCTCCGAGAGCGAGCGAACGAAAACTGCGGGTTGCCGGCGTAATGCGAGTAAACATTTCCGTTATTATAAACACTCGAGCGCAAGTCAACCAAAACCTAGAGCCATCCTTAACCATAACCCAGATAGCCAAGCATTAACTCCCACCACTACAATGGGCAAGCCTATCCAAAGGAACCAGACCTCCTACCATCCCAATCTGATTTAACGAAATAGTCAACGCACTCCCCGTATTTTTCTAAACTTATATTTTTACACATATCATCAGCTAAATGCTCTTCTGTGGGAGTGTTTTTTGTTCAGCAGCATTGGTTCAATACACAAACTGATCTTAGTTATCCAGCCAATAGGCTACATGCCACGACCGTATCTCTAATTAGCCAACCACTAGTACCATTCCTACCCTAACCAACCAGCCACTAGTACCATTCCAACCCTAACCAACCAGCCACTAGTACCATTCCTACCCTAACCAACCAGCCACTAGTACCATTCCAACCCTAACCAACCAGCCACTAGTACCATTCCTACCCTAACCAACCAGCCACTAGTACCATTCCTACCCTAACCAACCAGCCACTAGTACCATTCCTACCATAACCAACCAGCCACTAGTACCATTCCTACCCTAACCAACCAGCCACTAGTACCATTCCTACCCTAAACAACCAGCCACTAGTACCATTCCTACCCTAACCAACCAACCACTTGTACCATTCCTACCCTAACCAACCAGCCACTAGTACCATTCCTACCCTAACCAACCAACCACTTGTACCATTCCTACCCTAACCAACCAACCACTAGTACCATTCCTACCCTAACCAACCAACCACTTGTACCATTCCTACCCTAACCAACCAGCCACTAGTACCATTCCTACCATAACCAACCAGCCACTAGTACCATTCTTACCCTAACCAACCAGCCACTAGTACCATTCCTACCCTAAACAACCAGCCACTAGTACCATTCCTACCCTAACCAACCAACCACTAGTACCATTCCTACCCTAAACAACCAGCCACTAGTACCATTCCTACCCTAACCAACCAGCCATTAGTACCATTCCTACCCTAACCAACCAGCCACTAGTACCATTCCTACCCTAACCAACCAGCCACTAGTACCATTCCTACCCTAACCAACCAGCCACTAGTACCATTCCTACCCTAACCAACCAGCCACTAGTACCATTCCTACCCTACCCAACCAGCCACTAGTACCATTCCTACCCTAACCAACCAGTCACTAGTATCATTCCTACCCTAACCAACCAACCGCTAGTACCATTCCTACCCTAACCAACCAGCCACTAGTACCATTCCTACCCTAACCAACCAGCCACTAGTACCATTCCTACCCTAATCAACCAACCACTAGTACCATTCCTACCCTAACCAACCAGCCACTTGTACCATTCCTACCCTAACCAACCAGCCACTAAGTACCATTCCTACCCTAACCAACCCGCCACTAGTACCATTCCTACCCTAACCAACCAGTCACTAGTATCATTCCTACCCTAACCAACCACTAGTACCATTCCTACCCTAACCAACCAGCCACTAGTACCATTCCTACCCTAACCAACCAGCCACTAGTACCATGTCTACCCTAACCAACCACTAGTACCATTCTTACCTTAACCAACCAGCCACTAGTACCATTCCTACCCTAACCAACCAGCCACTAGTACCTTTCCTACCTTAACCAACCAGCCACTAAGTACCATTCCTACCCTAACCAACCAGCCACTAGTACCATTCCTACCCTAACCAACCAGCCACTAGTACCATTCCTACCCTAACCAACCAACCACTAGTACCATTCCTATCCTAACCAACCAGCCACTAGTACCATTCCTACTCTAACCAACCAGTCACTAGTACCATTCCTACCCTAACCAACCAGCCACTAGTACCATTCCTACCCTAACCAACCAGCCACAAGTACCATTCTTACCCTAACCAACCGGCCACTAGTACCATTCCTACCCTAACCAACCAGCCACTAGTACCATTCCTACCCTAACCAACCAACCACTAGTACCATTCCTACCCTAACCAACCAACCACTAGTACCATTCTTACCCTAACCAACCAGCCACTAGTACCATTCCTACCCTAACCAACCAACCACTAGTACCATTCTTACCCTAACCAACCAACCACTAGTACCATTCCTACCCTAACCAACCAACCACTAAGTACCATTATTACCCTAACCAACCAGCCACTAGTACCATTCCTACCCTAACCAACCAGCCACTAGTACCATTCCTACCCTAACCAACCAGCCACTAGTACCATTCCTACCCTAACTAACCAGCCACTAGTACCATTCCTACCCTAACCAACCAGCCACTAGTACCATTCCTACCCTAACCAACCAGCCACTATTACCATTCCTACCCTAACCAACCAGCCACTAGTACCATTCCTACCCTAACCAACCAGCCACTAGTACCATTCCTACCCTAACCAACCAGCCACTAGTACCATTCCTACCCTAACCAACCAGCCACTAGTACCATTCCTACCCTAACCAACCAGTCACTAGTGTCATTCCTACCCTAACCAACCAACCACTAGTACCATTCCTACCCTAACCAACCAGCCACTAGTACCATTCCTACCCTAACCAACCAGCCACTAAGTACCATTCCTACCCTAACCAACCAGCCACTAGTACCATTCCTACCCTAACCAACCAGCCACTAGTACCATTCCTACCCTAACCAACCAGTCACTAGTACCATTCCTACCCTAACCAACCAGCCACTAAGTACCATTCCTACCCTAACCAACCAGCCACTAGCACCATTCCTACCCTAACCAACCAGCCACTAGTACCATTCCTACCCTAACCAACCAGCCACTAAGTACCATTCCTACCCTAACCAACCAGCCACTAGTACCATTCCTACCCTAACCAACCAGCTACTAGTATCATTCCTACCCTAACCAACCAGCCACTAGTACCATTCTTACCCTAACCAACCAGCCACTAGTACCATTCCTACCCTAACCAACCAGCCACTAGTACCATTCCTACCCTAACCAACCAGCCACTAGTACCATTCCAATCCTAACCACCCAACCACTAGTACCATTCCTACCCTAACCAACCAGCCACTAGTACCATTCCTACTCTAACCAACCAGTCACTAGTATCATTCCTACCCTAACCAACCAACCACTAGTACCATTTCTACCCTAACCAACCAGCCACTAGTACCATTCCTAGCCTAACCAACCAGCCACTAGTACCATTCCTACCCTAACCAACCAGCCACTAGTACCATTCCTACCCTAACCACCCAACCACTAGTACCATTCCTACCCTAACCAACCAGCCACTAGTACCATTCCTACTCTAACCAACCAGTCACTAGTATCATTCCTACCCTAACCAACCAGCCACTAAGTACCATTCCTACCCTAACCAACCAGCCACTAGTACCATTCCTACCCTAACCAACCAGCCACTAGTACCATTCCTACCCTAACCAACCAGCCACTAGTACCATTCCTATCCTAACCAACCAGCCGCTAGTACCATTCCTATCCTAACCAACCAGCCACTAGTACCATTCCTACCCTAACCAACCACTAGTACCATTCCTACCCTAACCAACCAACCACTAGTACCATTCCTACCATAACCAACCAGCCACTAGTACCATTCCTACCCTAACCAACCAACCACTAGTACCATTCCTACCCTAACCAACCAACCAACCACTAGTACCATTCTTACCCTAACCAACCAACCACCAGTACCATTCCTACCCTAACCAACCATCCACTAAGTACCATTCCTACCCTTACCAACCAGCCACTAGTACCATTCCTAGCCTAACCAACCAGCCACTAGTACCATTCCTACCCTAACCAACCAGCCACTAGTACCATTCCTACCCTAACCAACCAGCCACTAGTATCAACTCTATGAGGGGCGCCACAGTGGCGAGATGTTAACTACTTCGCCTTGTATGCAGGAGGTCCTGGCTTCGATCCCGACCCTGACTCCTGCTGTATATTTTGAGTTTTCATGTTCTCCCCGTGGTCGCGTGGATTTTTCTCCAAGTCCTCCGGTTTTTCCCCTCCACATTTAGAAACATGCGTTTTAGAGTATTTGGCTGCTATACATTTCCACGTGATAAGCCACTTTGTTGACCTATCATTTGTGGCCAGGTTGCTTATAAAATAGTCATCCAGCTCAGTAAGCCTTACCAGGTAAATCAAAAGAGTTTTTTTTATTCCTAACCCTGATTAACCAGCCCACCGGTGACTATGACCAAACATCCCCAAACCCGTTCTCAATTATTTCCTTTGTTCCGTTCCTATTGCCTATAGCGCCCCCCCCCCCCCCCCGAAGCCAACAGCACGAGGTGCCCGTCGGGCAGCAGCAGTCTGGGAGAGCTGCCCCACGGGCGTGCACGCGGGCAAGAGGAGGCGCAGGAGGAGGCGCGCCACCTCCTGGCACGAGGCGAGGAGTTTGATTCTAGAAAAGCCCCGCAAGTGACTCGACAGGGATAGAACCACACAGCAACACCGCCGCCTACTGGCAGCCTGAACCCATCGGCACGTCGGAGCTGCGTTCACTCTGTGTGTGCGTTAGTCTACGGATATCCGGACCTCTCTGTGAGCCTCTGGGTCTCCGTACCATTCTATTGTCTCTTTGCGAGTCTCTGTGTCTCAGTGAGCGTCTAACTCCACGTGCAGGGCGGTACCGCGTGCACCTTTGTGCCGCGCTTAGGGACAGTTGCCACCGGGGGGGTCTCCTATGGTAGTCTGCCGCCGGGAAATGCGATGGTTAAGACAAGTGATTGTAGACGCTGTGAGTTGGTGATGCATTGAAGCGAGCTCCTTATAAGTAGTGCTTACCTGTGCTTACCAGTGGCGGGGGGGGGGGGGGGGGGCGTGAGGCTCTGTGAGCTATCGAGGTCTCCGCAACTCATAAGCCGTCGGTGTGGAGGAGGTCAGTGATGGGTTCCCACGAGGATTGTGAAAACCAGTACGGGTAAACCGGTTACAGTTTTTGTAATCGGTTGCTGGTTCAGAAAATCAGGAAACGGTCGTTTTTTTAAAGTGTAATGTTGGTGACTGAAGTGCTGTGAGTACCCACACTTGACTCCACCATACGTGACCTGCCTATCACAGACCGTGGTGAACCCATTTGTACCACTGAGCGGACAGAGTTTGCGGGGCAGGGCGGGGGAGATTTCAGAATCTACTCCCATTGTTTCAGATGCCGTGCCGGGAGATCGAATGGAACCGCACCCCTCTGGGTCGCAGGTCCAGTCACGTGCTGCTCACCATTACTCCAGCACTGCCGCAGCTTGATTCGTTTCTCGGGGCAAGCGTTCATTTTTATTGTTGGTCATTTATTTATTAACGTGCGGCAATCCGGTAACAGCAGGGCTGGGAATGTGAATAAATGGCTGGGGAACTCATCAATGATTCCCCACACCCCCCACTAGATCTGAGGAGGAGGTTGGCTCGTGTGTCTATGGGTGTCTGTGCGTGTTGTGGGTCTCTGAGCGTGGCTGTCGGTTTTTGTGGATTTCTGTGCGTGCTGTGGGTTTTTGTGGGTCTCTGTTCGTGTCTGTGGATTTCTGTGCGTACCTGTGAGTTTTTGTGGTTCTCTGTTCGTGTCTGTGGGTCTCTGAGCGTGGCTGTGGGTCTCTGTGCGTGCCTGTGCGTTTTTGTGGGTCTCTGTTCGTGTCTGTGGGTCTCTGTGCGTGCCTGTGGGTTTTTGTGGGTCTCTGTTCGTTTCTGTGGGTCTCTGAGCGTGGCTGTAGGTTTTCTGTGGGTCTCTGTGCGTGTCTGTGGGTTTCTGTTCGTGTCTGTGGGTCTCGCTGAGCGTGGCTGTTTCTGGGGGCCTCTGTGTGTCTGTAGGTCTCTGAGCGTGTCTGTGGGTCCCTGTGCGTGTCTGTGGGTCTCCCTGTTAGTCTAGGGGTCTAGTTGTGAGTCGAATACTACGGTAAAATAAAAGATGAATCCTTGATTCCTCCCGGCACGCAGTCGATCGGGTTCAAATTCCCACTCTCACCGCGGCTTCCCGGACCAGTGCCACCACAGGGAAAGCGAGAGGGTGGCGGCCGGGCCCTCGTCCAGCAGTGGATTGCTCCGGGCTGATGGTGGTGGCGGTGATGACGATAATAAGTAAGAGACCACGCCGTCGCCCTGTACGTACAGCGCACGTTGTTGTATGTACAGTACACGTTTATAAAGGCTTCTCTTTCATTTGGCATGAACGTCGTGAGCGATGTCATACATTACACAGGGAACTCGCGTCGTAACACTGATCTCGAGATGTAAGATAACCGTACGTGTGTGTGTGCGCGCGCCTCAGTGCACCTAGCCTGGCACCAGCGCTGTGGTGTACGTGTCGTGTGTGTGTATATATACACGTGTGATTAAGTAAATCGGCCACGGCTAACATCAGGACCGAGTGATATCTTAACCGGTTCTTTCGGCCTCGCTATATGGACTCAGCTTTAAATGAGTGTCGTGCGTGGTGTGTAAACATCATAGCTGGGGTGACAAAGGCGACCCGGTCGTAGTGTTGGCCACAGCATCCCCTCGTGTGTCGTATCGGCCTTTAACGGGGTGTCTCGCTGACAGCACTTGCCCCGACGGGCCGTGGAGGCTACACGGGGGATATTTGTGTGCACGTCTGCGTGAGTGCATCCCGTGCCGCGCGGTGTCGCTATTGCAACGCGAGTCCACGGCCCAGACGAGGCTCGCACCCGCGGTGGGCAAAGTCTCGCGTGCTCACCAATCATCGCATTGTCTTCATGGTCAACGAGAGGGGGAGAGAGGGAGTGAAGGCTTATCGCCTCTGCGGTGGGAGTCACACCCAGGTTCTCGGCAGCGAGTCGCCTGTTCACGACACGAGAGACACTCACTCGCCTCTGCCGAATATCCCCGCTGGGTTGTTGGTGTCGAGGGACGCTCGCGCCGTTGCGTCCGAAGTCTGACTGATACGAACGTTCGTATAAAACGTTGGATGATTATAATCTATAGCGAGACGTATTATTTGGTGGTGCTGCTGATTCTGCGTTGGCAGGGGTGCACAAGCACAATCAAAACATCAACACGTTCGTCAACAATAACACTGTGGCCTTATCAAGAAAACTATTCAACAGGGAACGTTTCGGGCAACGGCCCTTCTTCATAGCACATACAGAGAGAGGCCAGGAAAGAGAGTTGACGAGAAGAGGGGGAGACTGCGCGTGTATACACAGTGGGCCCTGGGGAGAATTACATTTCAAACAATGTTTCGTGATGAAACCAGTTTTTTTAAATGTGCATCGCAATAGTTGCACTTATCGTAGCTATTGATTAACGCACAGTATTTACGGCTAAATAAACTAATTTATATTCAAGGTGAAAATATGCAATGTTGCAGGCACGATCAACCGAGCAATGCATTCATCCTGGGCCCAGTCACCATGAAACACAATGTCAGCTGCCCCGATTCCTCAGGTGGAGAATTACAGAATGTATGGTAAATTATTTTAGAATTACCCCTGAAATAACTAATTACATTCTTTTAGATTTCCACTCAAACGCACGTGGGGAGACACTCCCCTAACGATTACCACCCTGGTGCACATTCCTATGGCAGGTAAAAATAACGTAAAATCACCCGAATAGGCGTGTGTGTCTATTCGAGTTGACTCGAATCTACGAGAGTTGACTCGAGTTGCTCCAATTCCTCCACCACCTCGGGTGGAGTTGATGGGGGACTACAGTTGCCGCAGTAGCGGCGCTCCCACGAGTTGCCGAGCTACTCAAGTTCCAGTCACGTCAGTTGATTTGCTCGTCAAGTCATTCGGTCAATACCGCGTTGCTGGCAACATGAATTGGTGATTGGTAACCACAGAAACTAAATGTATAATTCTGGGTTCCCAGCGGCTCTGAATCCTGGGCCAGACGATTCAGGCCGGCCCCGTTCGAGCGAACTCTGGACACACGATCTTGAGCTGCAGGCCTCCAACTCTCTCTCGGGGGCTTATCAACCTGACGGAAGAATTCCGTCTCGGATCACGGAATCTCGGTCTCACGTTCACAACAACAACACCCACACGCCACGCACCGCAGCCGCATCGCCTCGCCACACCGACAACGTCTCATCACACAGCGACTGCGTGGCAGGCCGAGCGAGCGATGTGCGCGCTGAGACGGCGCGGGGTTGTCTGCTTGGTCCAGGGGTGGGGACTTGCGGGAAGAGGGGTGGGGGCTCCGCGTCTCTGCGCCCGTCGCTCCCCGCATGCACGCATCAACAACCCCTTCCCGTCCACGTATCCAGCGAAAAATAAATCTCCGCCACCATTGGCCACCGGGAGGCGCTGCGGGTCACGCGTCACAGGGGCTCGGGCAGCTTGAAGGCGCTCAACTCGTCGTAGGCCGGACTCTCCGGGCAGCCGCAGCCGCTGTCGATGACGGCGGCGATGGAGTCGGAGGTCGCGGGAGTGGCTCCTGGCGGCGGCGGCGGCGGCACTGCGCACGCGGGAGTCCGTGAGCGCGTCAACCGTGGCGAAGAAGCCAACCCCCAACTGGGCCTTCTCACACGGCTCACGTGGACGACTGTGCTCGGAATGAGCGCAGTGCCTGTCTGGTGGTGCTCGTGAAACGTGTAACTGCGCTAGATGCAGAGGCGCGGGAAATAAAAAAACAGAGGAGCGCTTGCCAAGGCAGTCGGAACCGACGCAGCTGACAATTGCCCGAGCTCTGTGGTCCTATATTGGGATTTCTGGCCAACTCGTTTAGTGAGTTATGTGGCGCTGCTGCTGATATGGCAATGGGGCACAAGCACAATTAGCAACGACCACTCCAACATATTTGTCACTAACACTGCCCCCCCTCTCCCCACCCCCATCCACCATCCTCTGTATCTCCGTCTTCCCTGATCGCCACTACTCTACCATCTAAAACACATTCATCAATTACACCGTGGCCTTAGCATTCATATATAATGCGCGACGTTTCGGGCAATGGCTTTTCTTCATCGCACATAGAGGACATTGCCCGAAACGTCACCTATTGTGAGAGAGGGAAGGGAGTGTGGAGTGGAAGGGAGGGGGGCGAGGTAGAGGGAGCTGGGGCTAGGGTGGTAGAGGGAGCTGGGGATAGGTTGGTAGAGGGAGGTTGGGGCTAGGGTAGTAGAGGGAGCTGGGGCTAGGGTGGTAGAGTGAGCTGGGGCTAGGTTGGTAGAGGGAGCTGGGGCTAGGATGGTAGAGGGAGCTGGGGCTAGGGTGGTAGAGGGAGCTGGGGCTAGGGTGGTAGAGGGAGCTGGGACTAGGGTGGTAGAGCGAGCTGGGGCTAGGGTGGTAGAGGGAGCTGGGACTAGGGTGGTAGATGGAGGTTGGAGCTGCGGTAGTAGAGGGAGCTGGGGCTAGGGTGGTAGAGGGAGGTTGGGGCTAAGGTGATAGAGGGAGCTGTGGCTAGGGTGGTAGAGGGAGGTTGGAGCTGGGGTGGTAGAGGGAGGTTGGGGCTAGGGTGGTAGAGGGAGCTGGGGCTAGGGTGGTAGAGGGAGCTGGGGCTAGGGTGGTAGAGGGAGCTGGGACTAGGTTGGTAGAGGGAGCTGGGGCTAGGGCGGTAGAGGGAGGTTGGAGTGGAGGGGAGAGGGGGCTGGGGCTAGGGTGGTAGAGGGAGCTGGGGAAAGGGTGGTAGAGGGAGGTTGGGGCTAGGGTGGTAGAGGGAGCTGGGGCTAGGGTGGTAGAGGGAGCTGGGGCTAGGGTGGTAGAGGGAGCTGGGGCTAGGTTGGTAGAGGGAGGTTGGGGCTAGGGTAGTAGAGGGAGCTGGGGCTAGGGTGGTAGAGCGAGCTGGGGCTAGGTTGGTAGAGGGAGCTGGGGCTAGGATGGTAGAGGGAGCTGGGGCTAGGATGGTAGAGGGAGCTGGGGCTAGGGTGGTAGAGGGAGCTGGGACTAGGGTGGTAGAGCGAGCTGGGGCTAGGGTGGTAGAGGGAGCTGGGGCTAGGGTGGTAGATGGAGGTTGGAGCTGGGGTAGTAGAGGGAGCTGGGGCTAGGGTGGTAGAGGGAGGTTGGGGCTAAGGTGATAGAGGGAGCTGGGTCTAGGGTGGTAGAGGGAGGTTGGAGCTGGGGTGGTAGAAGGAGGTTGGGGCTAGGGTGGTAGAGGGAGGTTGGGGCTAGGGTGGTAGAGGGAGGTTGGAGCTGGGGTGGTAGAGGGAGCTGGGGCTAGGGTGGTAGAGGGAGGTTGGGGCTAGGGTGGTAGAGGGAGCTGGGGCTAGGGTGGTAGAGGGAGCTGGGGCTAGGGTGGTAGAGGGAGCTGGGGCTAGGATGGTAGAGGGAGCTGGGGCTAGGGCGGTAGAGGGAGGTTGGAGTGGAGGGGAGAGGGGGCTGGGGCTAGGGTGGTAGAGGGAGCTGGGGAAAAGGGTGGTAGAGGGAGGTTGGGGATAGGGTGGTAGAGGGAGCTGGGACTAGGGTGGTAGAGGGAGGTTGGAGTGGAGGGGAGAGGGGAGGGGGGTTGTAATGGGTGGGGCTAGGGAACTGACCTGCAGTCCCGGGCAGGGATCTCTTCATGACCTCGTACACGGTCAGCTCGTGCGTCTCGCCCGCGCGCTTCCCTGTGCGGCACGCGCGGCGGAGGGTCAGGTTCAGAGCGAGTCGAGTCACCGATCGACGTTCACGATTCTCAACGTACCACGAGATAAGCGTGGAATCCCGTGCGTGAGCATCGATTTGGGGGATTAAGGACCGAATTGAAGACGACAACGTCACGAAGATGGTGATGAGGATGTCTCACCGTTTGCTTTCATGACGTTGTCGATGTTCTCGTAAATCGGGTTGTGCTGCCCGACATCTGAAACACAGGTGGAAACTCCCTCGCTATCGAGTCCTCGAGTTCGTGAGCAACTTGACCAATGAGTCTGTGAGTCTGTGAGCAATTTGCCCGTGAGTGAGTTTGTGCCCTGCCCTAGGGGAGCTCACCTCTGCCCTCTGGAGCTCGCCCCATAGACTCGTACGCGTTGTCCAGGTTCAGTTCCCCCGTAGGGTCTAAGGCGTGGCAAGGGCGGGGACAGCAGAACAAAACATTAAATTAGTGTAATTAATTCACATTTTCACTTGGAAATTCCCTTGAGACAGAACGTCTCATCCGATCTGACAGAAACGGGGTCTTGACGAATGCGTCGAGGGTTTGTTTCTTATTCTCTCATCTGCAAGGCTGTCCAGCAGTGCGTCAATTACAACATTGACGCGTACACAGCGAGCACGGCCAGGCCTAGCCGCACCTTTCTCATCGCGGTGGTGGCGGCCGCGCCGCGTGAGGAGGCACGCGGTGAACGCCACGGCCGCCACGAGGCAGCAGGCGGCGAGCATCGAGAAGAGCGCGAGCTGCAGCACTTGGCCGCGCACCGTCGGCATGCTTGTCGTGGTGGTCGGGAACGGCACCGTCGTCACGTTGATGCACGCGGGGAGCGAGTTGCTCTTGCCTGGTAGAGGGGGGGGGGGGGGGCACGGGGAGGTTGGCGAGGCACACAAAGAGAGACACCGGGAAGGGATCGGTCTGCAGAGCGAGACGCGGAGGGAGACGCGGGGAGAGACACCGCGGCCACGGGGAGCAGACGTGGAGCGAAAAAAATCGACAGGGAGACGCGGAAAGACACGGGGAGGCGCGGGGAAGTACGAATAGACACCGGAGGCGCAGGAGACGCGGAGCGCGCGAGGGTTAATGAAGCGCTCGATGCGCGCTGATGACGGCGGCACGGCTCGCCATTGATTCGTGGCGAGTGCGAGAGAAGTGCGGCCGCTGGCCGCGTTTATGGCCTCAGCCACGAGTTAGCAACGCGGCCCCGTGAAGAGCGAACGCCTCTTGGGACGAGGGTGGAGTGCGGTGTCGATGTTGTTATTAGTGATGGTAGTCGCGAGGGTTGTGGTGCGCCTATCCTGGCACAAGGGCCCTGGCGACGGCATCGCCACTTAGTGGCGAACGGCGACTCTGATACTGTCTTATTGTTGTTTCCCTCGTTGCTGGGTAAAGGTGGGTATCATTCGTGGTGGCATTGTGTTGGTGATGGTATTGCGTTGGTGATATTGTAGTAGGGTGGAGTTGGCCATACATCCCAATATAGGACCGCAGAGCTTGGCCAATTGTTAGTCGCAACCGCTTTGGCTGCCTTTTCCCACGCCTCTAAATTTTTTGTAACTCTATTTTACATGGAACTGCGGGGGGCGGTGGTGGTGGGTGGGGGGGGGACTAAGCGTTGCTCACCATCCTTGTTGACGCAGTACTCCGAGGTGTGCCTGGACAGCCCATTGACGGAGCACGTGTAGAGGCCCAGGTCCTGGAAGCTCACGGCCAGGATGGTGATGTTGCTGCCGTCCTCCGTCAGCCTCGAGGGGGGCACGCGATTCCCCTTGAACCACCACACGAAGGTGGGCACCGCGCGCGAGAACTGCAGGGCGCGAGCGCTCCCCTGGCAGGAAAGCACCAAGCTGCGTCCGAGCGTCACGGCGCCGTGCGGCTCCGCGCGCAGCACCACGTCCGCCAAGCACGCTGCGCGGGGTGGGGGGCGAGAGAGAGAAGGGGGGGGGTCTCTGTGTGAGTTTACTGGTCTCTATATAAATCCTCTGATTTCTGTGAGTCTATAATTCTCGATGTGCGTCTGTGGGTCTCTGCGTGAGCCTTTGGATGTCTTTGCTAGTCTGTGGTTTTCTACGTGAATACACGGGTCTCAACGTGTGTACGTGGGTCTCTACGCGACTTTCTCTCTACACTAGTCTACAACTCTGTCTCTTTGTGCATGCTAGGATGGATGAGAATTTGACTCGACCAATCGTTGTTGTGCACGATGACGACGCGGCGCGCACCGGGTCTCACGACGAGCTCCACCTCGCGCCTCTCCACGCCGCCGGGCATCTCGAAGAGGAGCGAGCCCGTGTCGCTCGACTTGAGGTCGCGCAGCTCCAGCGAGCAACTGCTGGGCGGCGCCTGTCGGAAGAGCGTGCGCGCCGCGAACTTCACGCTCGCGTCCGCGTGGCCGTTGCAGACCGGGTGGTGCGGGATCCACTTCCACGTCACCTCCGTGAAGTTGGGCCGCACGGCGCAGTCCAGCGTCACCGAGAAGCCCTCGGCCGCCACCACCTGCTCCGGCTTGCTCCAACAGCAGCCTGGTGGGGACGGGGGAGGGGGGCGGACCGAGGGCCGTCACGACCACGACACGCAGCCGTTCGCGTGTCCCTGCGACTCTGCCTTGTAACACTCCGTATCTCTCTCGAGCTAGGGCGAGTGATAACAACTCAGCATATTCGCCAATAACACTTGTGTGTGGCCTTGCAAGGATAATAGAGACTGTACTATTTGTCGTTTTGGGCAATGGTCCTTCTCCAGAGTTACTTCCGCGGCAGACTTCTTACAGGAAGACGCAATCTAATTTACATACGGGCAGCTCGTATCTTTTAGCTAAACGTCTAATAGTGTTTGTGTGGGTGCGTCTCGTGCTGTCAAACACACGCTTGGAGCCTCATTGATTTGTACCAAAACGTTTAAGCTGTTTCACTGATTCCTATGGCACTCCCCCATGGGACATTCCCTGCATTTCGACAAACGTGTGTGCGAAGCTGTTGTGCACGCGGTGAACAAACAAGCCCAGGCGCGTCAAGGACACTGACACGATACGTAATGGAAGCGCAATAACAACAGGAGAACGTGTGTTTATAATGGGCAACGTTCTGGCAATAGAAGGCGACGTTTTAGGCGATGACCCTTCTTCATAGCGCGTGGGTCATGAGTCACACCGCATACAGGAGTCTGACGGGGCCCGCCCTTAACGTAAACACGCGCACGCGACTAGGGGCGGTGTGGGGGAGGCGGGGGGGAGACGACGCGAGGGGGGGGCTGTGTTGGGTGGGGGGCGTTCGGGAGGAGAGGGCGCTCAGCGCAATAAGTGACGCGCTCGTCTTCCGGTCAAGAGTGGCTGAAGATAAACGACCGGTGGCTGTCGGAGATGACCCGACGAGAGCTCGATGAGATTGACGGCAGTGATGCCGAAACGGTGACCCGTTTATGCTGCTACCGATGATGACAGTGGTGGTGGTGGTGGTGCTGATGATGATGATTATGAAGGGCGTTGGTATGGTGATGCTGCTCTGGACATCCGATTCGACTGTTGCGTGGGAAGCGATTAGGGTGATAAACATTCACTTGGGGGAGAGGTCGTGGCGCTCACCTGAGCCGAGGGCTCCCATGACGAGCAGGACCCACAGAGGCGCCATGGGCCAGGGATCCAACCGGTTGCCTCCAAACTCCGCGCCTTCACCTAAACACAAGGGTAGACACCAGCAGGGTAAGAGCAGCGGGCGGAGACGCGGATTTACTCGGGTATCATAGCAGGCTAGATGTCAGAATCTACTCACGTTACTTTACAGCCCTTCCTCAATCCACCGCTGGATGAAGGCCTCCCCGCGTGTTGGTCGTGGGAGTTGATAAGTTAACACGGACACGCGGCCACACACACACACGATGCAGTGCTCATGCGAACATGTGGCCGTGCCGTAGTGAGAAGTCCAATCAAGGACGGAACAAGAACACCGCACGGTCACGAAATCTTCGCTGCTTTAAATAATGAGCACAGTTTGCCGTGTTCTCTGTTGGTTAATTCAATAATGCATGCAGAGACGAGCACGGTGGGTAACTGAACAGTAAAACGATGTCACATCATAAAAACAATGATGCCAACTTGTAGCGCGCTGCCACCGTTGCACAGAATTCAATCGCTCGTCGTTCTTGCAGAGAGAGAAGACGGCTCAGAGAGGGAGGACGGCTCAGAGAGAGAGAGGACGACTCAGAGAGAGAGAGAGGAGGACTCAGAGAGAGAGGACGGCTCAGAGAGAGAGAGGACGACTCAGAGAGAGAGGACGGCTCAGAGAGAGAGGACGGCTCAAAGAGAGAGGACGAATCAGAGAGAGAGAATGGACGACTCAGAGAGAGAGGACGAATCAGAGAGAGAGAGAACGACTCAGAGAGAGAGGACGCCTCAGAGAGAGAGGACGAATTAGAGAGAGAGAAAGGACGACTCAGAGAGAGAGAGGACGAATCAGAGAGAGAGAGAACGACTCAGAGAGAGAGGACAACTCAGAAATAGAGAGGGCGGCTCAGAGAGAGGACGACTCAGAGATAGAGGACGACTCAGAGAGAGAGAGGACGACTCAGAGATAGAGGACGACTCAGAGAGAGAGAGAGGACGACTCAGAGAGAGAGAAGACGACTCAGAGAGAGAGGACGACTCAGAGAGAGAGGACGGCTCAGAGAGAGAGGACGAATCAGAGAGAGAAAGGACGACTCAGAGAGAGAGGACGACTCAGAGAGAGTGGACGGCTCAGAGAGAGAGGACGAATCAGAGAGAGAGAAAGGACGACTCAGAGAGAGAGGACGAATCAGAGAGAGGGAGAACGACTCAGAGAGAGAGGACGCCTCAGAGAGAGAGGACGAATCAGAGAGAGAAAGGACGACTCAGAGAGAGAGAGAGGACGAATCAGAGAGAGAGAACGACTCAGAGAGAGAGGACAACTCAGAAATAGAGAGGGCGGCTCAGAGAGAGGACGACTCAGAGATAGAGGACGACTCAGAGAGAGAGAGGACGACTCAGAGAGAGAGAGGACGACTCAGAGAGAGTGGACGGCTCAGAGAGAGAGGACGACTCAGAGAGAGAGGACGGTTCAGAGAGAGAGGACGACTCAGAGAGAGAGGACGACTCAGAGAGAGAGGACGACTCAGAGAGAGAGGACGACTCAGAGAGAGAGGACGACTCAGAGAGAGAAGACGGTTCAGAGAGAGAGGACGACTCAGAGAGAGAGGACGACTCAGAGAGAGAGGACGATTCATAGAGAAAGAGAACGACTCAGAGAGAGAGGACAACTCAGAAATAGAGAGGACGACTCAGAGAGAGAGGACAACTCAGAGGCGCCACAAGAAGGATCCACGTACGAGCGGGAAGGCGGCAGCTGCAGTAGCCACGCAGAGTCTAAATGCGACCTCCTCGAAAGGCGCCGTACAGAGAACAACACGCGTCTTCATTTGAGAGAGGCGGCTACAACAGGTATCTGTGTGCCAGTCTGCGCTTCTTGACGTGTAGTTGGGTATCTGTGTGCGCCAATGAAATACAACGTGTATTTCTTTTATATATACACACAGTACTACACTGTGTGTATACATAGAAGATCGTTTACGAAAGAAGGTCTTGAGGCTGCCTGCACGTGAACGGGGGCAGGGAATCGACCGCACGATTGGCTGAGAAGGGGAGTTCAGGATTGAGTGGGGGGTGTCAGCAGTCCGGAACGAGCGACCTTCCACCCCTGGGGTAGGGGGGGGGGGTGCTAGGATGAGGTCCCCCCCCCCCCAAGACGTTTCTACAGAAACAGCCGCGCGTGTGGGGGCCGCCAAAGGCCGCGGCGAGGCCGGGGTTTCCACTCGTCACGCCCTGTCCAGGAGTCGCTGCGAGATAAGAGGCGGACTCGCTGTTCATTAACGCGTCGCGTGAATTGGGCGAGGTTGTTTGTTCTACGAGTTTGGGTGAAAATTTACTCCGAGATGTTCATCGAAGTGAATTCCAAATTGCAGCAGAGAAGGGAGGAAGCGGAAAGAGACGTGAGGCGACCTGCAGTGTGGTGAGTGAGTGAGTGGGTGAATTCGTGTGTTTTTTTTACTGAATTATGGCTAATGCATGAATGAGTGGGAGAGCGAGTTACGAATGGGTGAGTGTGTGTGGTGTTTAGACGTGTAGCATGGTGAATGAGCGGGTGGCTTGTTTTGACCTACAGTGTGGTGGTGGATGGTGGTGGTTGAACACCCAGTGTGGTGAAGTTTGGTACAGGCCTCACCAATTTCTCGACATTGGAGGAAAAGTCCACGAGTCAAATTCTCGGGCACGGTGGCCACGGTCGGAGCGCGTTGTGGTGGCGACTGCAATTGGGAAACGTGCCGACGAATCCGACGTCTCGAGTACCAAGCAGCGGGACACGCGGGCGTCTGCGTCTCACGCGGTTCGCGTGGGTGCCACGGTTCCCGGCAGCCGGGCCGAGTTAGCGGCGTAACCCGGGGCAGGTGTCAGACGCCCCCCCCCTCAGCCCCTGCCTCCCCGGGCGTGAGAGCCGGAGAGAAAAACAAGGGCGTGATCCCCCCCCCTCCTCTCCCGCCCCCCATAAGCAATAACAACAACACCAGCAGCAGCACCAGTGCCAGCACCAGCGCCAGCACCATTCAAGACAATGATCCCCCGTGTAACCTTAACATACCGTTGGGGCAAGTTCTGTTTGCGAGCACCTATGAAGGCCAACACGCAACATGAGGAGGTTGGTAGTCGGCACCTCGCACGGCCGCATTTGTCTCCCTAATGGCGATTTTTACCCACTGCACCAGGTGCTCATTTGAGGTTGAGTTGACCTAGGAGAGGCCCAGGACCAGCTCAGATAATCGTCACTGGTGTTGGCCTTGAGTAGGAATCGAACTTGGGTGGCCGGGTTCGTAGCGCTGCGGCCAGCACTATTACCACCAACCACAACCGTCATTCGCCACGAAGTGGTGGTGAACTCACCACTGCGCTTGTGCCAGGCTATGTGCACGTTAAGGCCACGTGAAGTGTCGAGCGCCGCGCCAGCAGAAGGTCACAGGGCAGATTCACAATCATCACCACTGTCAGCAGCACCACCACCACCATGAACCCTGCCCCACCCATGCACTTCCTTTCCACTGACTTCTGTAATTATTGCGCCCTACTGCTTCCTTGCGCCGTGCAGGCCTTCATTAGAAACCCCTCGCCACTTGCGCCACGCCGACCCCAAAATACCCGGCCGGAAGCACCCGGGCTGGCGCGACGGGGCGCCTGTCAACGCGGCGAGTGGGAGACTCAGGGGGTCACTCAGGGCCACGCGCTCAAGGTCACCTCCATCCCCCTCCCCCGTGACGCCCCCACGCGGGACCCTCCAAGTGCGCGGACCCCGTTAACGCCACGCGCTGTTGCCTCTGCGACTCAGATATGAGCGGGGTCAGATCTTGGGAGGCTTATAGAGGGATGGGATTGGGGGTGCAGTGTGGGCTAACGCAGCCCGAACAGCAGAGGATAGCAATGGGCCCAGCTGGGAATTGAGGTGGTCACCTGGGAGTAGCGGGGAGCCACGGGGAACCAGAACGAGTGTCAAATTCATGACTCAGAATGAACATCAAATTCCCCACCCCAGTCGTGTTCAAGTCGCGTTATAGAGACAAAGTTGGGCAGAGAAGTGAGATGCGCTCCCAGGTTTGAGAGAGAGAGCCCAAGAGATCAAGATAGATGTGCTTTACACGGCCTGATGGTAATTACATTAAACAAATTCGGGTGGTCAGACGTCTCGCCTTTAGAGTGTCTCTCCCTCAAGTGGAGGCCCTTCTGCCAGAAGCGGCATGAGCCGGCACTTGCAGGGCTGTGCCTTTGTCTAGTACCCTTCAGTGCACAGTGCAACGCAGGTTCATGTAGAGGCTCAACGCAGCTGCATCCGTACGGAAACTATCGAATTTATGGACACGACCCTACTACCCAGGACAAGTCCTAGTCAGAGGCAAATTCCAGACACACGCGGAGTTATGTTAAAGTCGCGAGCGGGTGGAGGCTCTGAGTAAATCTCACGGAATGCGCCCGATCTCGTCTGGGTCTCGGAAGCTAAGCAGACTTGAGCCTGGCTAGAACTCGGATGAGTGTGACTCCCGCCGTGCACACACGCATGGTGCTGCTATAGGGCTGCTGTGCCGACGGCATCAGACGGCAGTGCAGCCAGATCCATTGATGAACTGTACTGCTCTCTGCACCCCACGCATTCGCTCCTCCGCCTTCACCGACTTGCACTGACCACCGTGATGAACTGCAATCAACCACCGCCTCCCCACCCCCATGGCCCGCACGGCGTGAGGGTTGTTTGAGGCCTTAATTCAGCAGTGGAATGACCACGACTGATGACGATGATGATGGCAATGTGTTGGGTAATGTCCCGTTAGGTTGTGGACAGCTCACCCGTCCGGCGGCTTGCGCTTCCCTCCTCCCGGGCGTCCTGCTCAGCCGTCCCTGTGCGGGGTGGGTACTGGCGAAGGGCCGGCCGTTAAACGTCGGACGTCGAGTCGCGAGGCAGCCACGGGTCAGTGAGCACGCGGAGTCGCAGAGTCTACGGGGCGGACGAGAGAGGCAATCAGCTGGGGCGAGGCAACGACGCGATCCGGAGAGCGCCGCTGCTCTCTCCTGCGAGTGGAGTGGGGGGAGGGATGGGAGTGGGAGGCGGCGGTGGGGGCAGGGAAGAGGCGGCTGGGGGGAGGTGAAGCGCTGCCGCTCGGCTGGAGCTGTCGGGGTAGCGGGACTGAGTCCGCGCGGGGGCAATTGAGGAGGAGGAATTTCCGTGGACGGCCACACGAGTGAAGAAGCGACGACACGGTGCGCAAACAGTTTAGTCTGGACGTGTAAACAAAGACGGACGGACGCACGCGCCCGGGGGGGGGGGGGGGGGGGCGGTGTGTCCAAGGGGCGGGGAGGGGAGGACACGGCTCCCGCCCACGGGAGGGGGTGAAGGGGCCCAGGATTTGAGAGCTCGCGGCTGGAGTTTTCGAGACCGATGAGGAGGTTCACCTCGTTCGCCCAGTGTCAACGGCAGCAGCAGCATCAACATCAGAAATAGCAACAGCAGCGGAATCATCAAAAGCATCATCAACACTAATAACAGCGTCATCTTCATCAGCAGCAACATCAGTAAGGAGACCCTTTGTCGCTAGTGTCATTACCACCAACAGCAGGAGTAGCAGTGTTATCGTCATTAACATAATCATCGTCATAACGATCGTAATCACCACGATCTTCATCACGATAATCAGTAAAAACAGCGGTGGCGGTGTCATCGTTATCATCATCATCATCACGATCATCATCACGATCATCAACATTAACCCTCCCGAGGATAATAGCTTTTAGAAGCAAGAGAATCACGCCGGAAGTTGGAGTCAGCAGCGAGCAAGGAGGAGGGAGGGGGAGTCATGGTGGAGGGGGGGGTCAGTGGGGGGGAGGAGTGGTGGGGGGGGGGGAGTAGTGGTGGAGGGGGCGGGGCGTGGTGGGGGGGGAGCAGTGGGGGGGGGGTCTGTAGCAAGGATGGGGGCTGGGGGGTGTGCACGGTGGTTGACGAGTGAAGTGGTGGAGGGGGTGGGGGCGAGTGGAGGGGGGGGAAATGTAGCTGGATGTGTAATTTTTTGTATTCGCGGAATCGATACGCGGAGCTGCGGATAAGAGCCGTGATGGAGCCCTCACTCGGTAGGGCGAGATGTCGAGACTCTCACCCAGCTCCGAGAAACACTCGCACTCTTACACACAGACAAAGATCCCCCTTATAGCCTTCACAGGCTGTTGCGGCAAGTGCTGTTAGCGAGCACCTATGAAGGCCGGCATTTCACACGAGGGGGTGGATGTCCAGCACCACGCCCGGTCGCCTTTGTCTATCGTCAGATACTCGTTTTTGAGGCTGAGTTGACCTAGGGGAATCCCAGGGACGATTCAGATAATCGTCACTGGGGTTGGCCGTGAGCAGCGCGCTATTTATCCCAGAAAGCCTCACGGAGTCTCCGGGCTCTGTTTGAGGCGGTCCTGCTAATTGGATGTTTGGCCGCAGACAAGTCCCACATATACGAGGAAAATGCCATTCAAAGCTCCGCACAGATTGATTTAATAATCCGTTAAAGTAGTAAACCAGGCACAACCCCGCTTAGTTTCCGAAATATGACGAGATGGTGGATCGGAGGCGATGATGATGAATTGATGTTGATGATGATGTTATTGAATTGATGTTGATGATGTTGGAATTGATGTTGATGATGATGATGTTATTGAATTGATGATGTTGCTGATGTCCTACAACATGCCAAACTGTCAGCGAGATAATTGATCTAAACACCAATGTGGCAGGACTCTCTTTAAACACAGTCTTGAGCCTCCGTTAGAATTTCCTGGGTACGATGAAATGCATAGTTGTTGTTATTGTTAAATGAGTGGGGCGGTGACGTCAGGTAGCAGTGGAAATTCGAAGCAGAGGTAGGGAGGCGGTGCTGGTCGAGCTGTCGATGGGGCGATGTGGGGGGCGAGGGAGAACGTTTGTGGGGGGGGGGGGGGTTGGGTCGCTTCTTGTGGTGTTGGGGGGGGCTCAGAGGGAGCGCCGTGCAAGCACAAATCGCATTCTGCTCCCATCTCAAGGCTGAGCGCGAGCGCCTCAATCTCACTCGGCTCCGATTAAATATTCATGACGACAATGGGGCGAGTGCTGTGAGCGAGCACGTTCCGATATGAGGAAGCCACTGGACTGACTGGAGCTATGCACTTGTAAATCATCTCGGTGATGAGTTTTGTCTTTAGTGTTGTTGTCCTTCCCCCGCACCTCCGGTTCGACCGGTTGGCCACGTACGGTGCGAAAGAAGTGGAAACTCCACGGTCGGTTACTCATTTGAGGCTGCTTTGACCTATAAGAAGTCCAGATAACAGGTTTCAGATAAAGCGCATGACTGATTTTGGGCATGACCGGGAATTGAACCCAGACGGCCGGTATCGTACACCGGAGCGCTAACCGCTGCGCCACCGCTCACCTCATGAATCTATATTTAGTATCACATACGTGCGGTACAGTACACGAGTGTTGCCGCACTACATGTTCGACATTCAGCATCAGCAGCAGTATCCATGGTGAATCTACACTGCTGGATGATGGCCTCCCTACGCCGTCACCATCCCTCACAATGCATCACTGCTGCCATACATCTCACCCGCACTTATTCACGAATGTCATTGCTCCATCTCCGCCGTGGTTGTCCTCTTTGGACGCATTCTACCCTTAGCCGCGTCGTTCCATCAGTCCGATACACACGGGTACGAGGTAAAGGCGCAGCCCTGCAAGTGCCTGCTCACTCCACTGCTAGCGGAAGCGCCTCCTCTTCTACGCAAACCAGACCTCTTGGAAGAGGTGTCATTACCCACACTTTACGCCACCGCGCGCGACCTGGCGATCACAGACTGCGGTGAGCCCATGTTGACTGCTGGGTGAACAGCGGTGGGTAAGTTCATGTCCAGTCGACGATCATCGTGGCTGCAAGAAAACGGCTCCAAGTTTGTCAAATTCTAAAATCATCCCACGAAAGATCTCGATTAGGATCTCACTCACAGCAGCAAACACCGGCCCATACCGGCAGACGAATGACCACGTGTCACTCTTGCAAACGAGAGCCATCCGGGTCTCTTGAGTTATCGTCTGGATAAACAAAATCAACTCGAAACCTGAACACACTCAATCACTCGTCATCTCATTTAGTTTACTTATCCACCATCTCACCCCCAACCCCCAACTCATTCACCCACTATTCATTCACTCACCCATCCACTCACTCGTTCAGTCACTCTTGCAAACAAGACGCATTCTGGTCTCGCCCCGGTCAAACAAAATGAAGTGAAACTTTACTGGGACCCCCAATCACAGGAAGGCACCCAGCAATAGCTACTGGTGCAGCACAGCGCGCGTGACGCAGAGTCCTCGCTCGCGTCCTCGCGGAGGGGTCCAAACGCATCGCATCAGATTGGCAATTTGCCCCCGAGATTGAATGATAATGCCCCCCAAAAATCCCATACTTTCTCAATCAACAATAATCCCCACTGAATATAAACACATTCGCCCGTAACGCGTGGAACCTGGTCTTCTCACCCGGGTAACCGATCCATTGGTCACATTGGCACCTCTGAGAATAAACACAAGTTCGGTGGGTGGCGGGGGGGAAATCCCACGTTCCTATGACGGGGTATAATGTTATCTATTCGACGACCATTGTTGACTTCCCCACAAAGTAGTATTCATTGTATCCACCCTGGATGGATGATGGGTTGAGTCAACCCCCAACCAGGATTTAAATGGTTTGGTCATGGAATACGACTTCAACACACCGAGCGAATCTCAAGACGCTGTGCAGAAACAGCAGGCTTGTTGACTTACACTGCAGAGGGGGGTAGGCAGGGGAAGTGAGGGAGATTGCGCGACCTTCCCGAGTGAGGGTTCCTTGATTGCGTTGCTGCTGCTACTGCCACTGCTGCCACTGCTGCTGCTGCTGCTACGGGGGGTACCTTAATGAGCGAGATGCTCCGGAGGGCGGTCGTGGAGGACTCGCTGGTGCAGCCGCGTCCAGATGTTGAGCGCGAGACGTCGCGGAGCGCTGGCCGTGAGGGAGTCTCTCTCCCTCTCCACCTTCTCTCTCCACCTTCTCTCTACCTCTGTGCGAGTGCGTGGGGGGGGGGGGGAGTCGGTGCGCGAACCCAGACGCACCGTCGGCTGCGGTCGCGGGCGCGTGCGAGCGACTGCAGCGATAACAGCCGCGACGCATTCACTGCTCGCAGGTAGCGTGGCACGGCTTGTGGTGGTGGTGGCGGCGCCTGGGGGGGGTGGTGGTGGTGGTGGTGACGTCGCGGCCGCACTCTGCAGTGTCCTCCCCCCTCTTCCTCGCAGCTCAAACCAACCTCCAGCTTAGCTCAGCCAACCCGACGTTCTCACCACCCATCCCGAACTTCGCGCGACTGAACTACGCGTGTGCAGAGAGAGAGAGAGTATCTACTCTGGCGACGACTAACGCTTAAATACTTGAGTATATACACAGACGCGCGCGTGGTCGCAACCGTGCATACATTCATTCATACATCCACCCACACGCGCTATCTCACGAACTCAAAAGGAAAATGTGAATGCGTCACGGTGGTTTTGAAGAACTTCTTGTTTCTGGCATTTGCCTCCTCTGATCTGGGTCATACAGCCGGCCAGCTGGGTCATTATTTAAAGCCGCGGTTTGCACCCAATTCCACCTCTTCCTCGCGACTTCCATCACCCTCCCAGCGCCGCCGCTTCCTCCACGCACCCCTCTGAGTCGCCCCGCGCGACGCGTGATCACACGGAGGAGAGAGTTCAACGTCGTCGCTTTACCACTCGTCGTGCCGGTGAACCCGTCCTCGTGAACCATGTTGGGTGCACGCACGAGACCTAACAAACGAAGTGAAAGAACCTCAAGGGCCCCTCGGATTTTCATGGACAATTTGGATGTTCCGTAAAAATCAACACGATTTCCGATCCTGATAAACATACAAATCCAATCAACATAACAAATCGAACTGTTATCATCTCTGCCACGTCGACATCTTCCTGCTCTTGTTTTACTACGCATCTTTCTTTTGCCTACATCTCACATTTCCCTAACACTTACTCCTCTTTCTTTTGTCCACATTTTTCTAATTTCGCTTCATCTATATTCATTACCCACATCTCCTTTATCACATTTTGGCATCTCACTATGAGTTTATTAATTGAATGCGCGGGGGGTGGAGGGTTTGTGACGGTGGGCAAAATAAATTCTGCTTAAGGCGACCCCTCAATGGGGGCCAACACCACCGCCACTGCTGCTGAACGATGCAGTGGCGACTCTTCACCTTGAGACCAGGACCCACCGTGACGCTGATCTGCCCACTGACCATCGCCGTTGCTGCGTCTCAGATGCGGCTGTCATTCTTCCACTGTGGTGGTGGTGGGCGTGCACCTTGGACCCCATTCAAACCCAGCTGTTGGAAGTTGCAAGCGAGAATGAATTTTAATCGCTCGAAGCCGGGGTTGGCACCATCCACACCTCCTCCTGATACCGAGGGGAAATGCGTGAGGTTCATCACTGCAGCTCACACAGCCGCTGGGAACCCAGTCCACACATCCCCAGAAGCCCTGGCTCACTGCAGGAGATCCAGCGACATGAGACAAAGCAGCTGGCCTATTCTCACAATTCACTATTTTTAATCAAAATATTTAACCTGGATACACCTTTGTAATAACATATTACGCATAATATTAACACTTACTAAGTTGTCCAGTAAAGCCATGCTAAGTTCTATAGGCATATTTTTCAGGAGGGCCCTACCTTGGTTTGTTTTATATTAAGACGTGTTCAGCTAATACACGATGAGTGTTTAGCATTGGGAAGAAACCCACGCCTTGCGCGACGGGGCAACACTCTATCCCCATAAGATGGAAACAGACGGAGATGAGTCCACTTGCTGTACCACCCTCTCCTGGGGATCCAGCAGCATGGTACCTCCTCAACGTCCACGGCTACGGAGTTTCACAACATCTGTGTGTGCCGTAATCCACCAACCCTCGCTGCTGCCTCCACAGGGCTGGGTCGCACAGGCAGCCACGAGCGTGGTCACTGCCACCCGGCTATGGGGTTGATCGTCTTCACGGCTATCCAGGGTGCCAGTTGACGCACCCATGGGCAACACGAAGTGGCACCAATATAACACAAGCACAATTTCCGAGGTCTGAGAATGACGCTAATGGCAGCCTTCATTCAGTGGTTCGGAGAGCCGAGCGGCGCTGCACGGACCAGTGGAGATGGAAACCGCCCTCGACAGCTCGCCATCACAAACCACCTATTTATCGCATCGCCACCCCATTCACCGGCTTCAAGGATCTCTGGAGTCCGCACCTCCAAGAAACAACGAACAAACAATACTCAACACATCCCTCTGTAACACCGGGTGTGGCCTTAGGGGCCGTCCATAAATAACGTCACGCACCTGGGGGGGTCAGACATTTGTGACGATGTGTGACGAGGGGGGGGGGGGGGGTTGAGAAATGTGACGTCACAACAAAATGCGCAACTTTTAATAAATATAGACAACACGTTCTACTTAATTAAATATACTTGTGAATAAATGTTTTCTCCTACAACATCAGAGTGCAGCGGCACATTAAATACGCACTACAATGACAATAGTTTAAAGCGATTTGATGCATGTTTTATTTGTTTTTGGGGGGGGGGCAGAGCTTTGTGACGTCATATTTAAGGGGGGGTCTGACTTTTTGTGACGCCGTGTGACGAGGTGGGGGGGGGGGGGTCAAAAATCGTCCAAAATCGCGTGACGTCATTCATGGAAGGCCCCTTAAAAGGGATCATAATATATTATTGACGAACGTATTATTGGGTCTTTCGGTAAAGTCACGTAGATAGGTTCAAAGAAACCGATCTACGTGACTTTACCGAAAGACCTAAGAATATGAATTCCTGCAGTTAGGAAAGCTTTCAGTCAAGATGTATTGTGTGTGATTGTGCCCCACTGCCAACTCAGTCGAAGCACCTCCGATCAGCACAGTCGGCTACGCACGGTGCGAAAGACGTTCAACATACACACGTAACATAAAAAATCAATTGTTTAATTCTCAGAACCCCAAGATAATATCCGCAGATTTGCGGAGCCCTTGTGCGAGGTTTGGGGGGAGGAGTAATACCTCAGTCCACACCGCCCGTGTGTGCGTCGGGGTGAGTAGGCGAGGAGCGGTGGCGCAGTGGTTTGTGATCCCGGCCAAATGGGGAGTTGCTCGTCTCCTGTTAGAGCCCTGAGCCAGTGATGGAAATTCCACATTCACATTATCTATCCAAAGCACAACCACTGTTGACTTCCCCACAAAGTGGTGGTTATTTTAATTGCCCGGCAGGGATGATTGGCTAATTCTCAACCCTTGCCAGCCGCTCGCTCTACTACTGAACCACCTGGGCGGAGTGCACCTATCCTGGCACAAGCGCCGGGGTGACGTCGCGGGGTTTTACGCGCGCATTGCCGATGCATAGCAGGAGAAATCAAATTTTAGAGGGCATAATCAATGGACGTTAATTATTAAGGGGGCCGCTGCTCGCAGTGGGTTGAGAGCTGCCGTGTAAGTGCAGGTACATAGGGAGAACATGCACTCTCATTACACGCAAAGACAAATACAAAGATCCCCCGTATAGCCTTAACAGATTATTGGGGCAAGTGCTGTCAGCAAGCACGTATGAATGCTGGCACGGTACACGATGGGGTGGGTGGCCAACACCAACCCCGGCCGCCGTTGTCTCCCCTAATGGTGATGTTTACACACCATACACGGTACTTATTTAAGACTGAGTCGACCTAGGGGAGGCCCAGGACCGGTTCAGATAATTGTCACCGGTGTTGGATTGTGAGCGGTAATCGACCTCGGGTCGCCGGGTTAGCTGCGGAGTGCCCTAACCACTGCACTACCGCTTCCCACACGCTCACTTACGCACTCACATATACACACGCATATACATGCAAACATACACACAAACTACCACACTCACACAATTACACATACTTACTAATCGGAAGGAATTGATGTACTTATGCAATTTCACTTACATAGTTGCTTAGCTTTCTTATACTTTGCACTTCGATCGTGTTTTGTACTGTTGTAGGTGTCAGTTCGGTTTTTTTTCAGTTCAGTTTATTTATTTTGGTATAGCCCTGTGAGCCATTCAGCTCTTGAATCGGGTGCAGCCACAACAAACAAAAAAACAAAAACACGAACAAGAAAACATCTTAAAGTGACTATGTGACTGTGCAAACAGAAAATCCATGAAAAAAACCGGCAAAATATTCCTGAAAAAAGCACCGTACACCAACGCTGTGTGCAAAAAATCCCAGTGGGATGCAAGTCAAACAACAACAATAACCACAAGAAAACTTAGATTAAGGCCATCAGTCTAACTCCGTACTACAACAAAAAAAACATGTCCAAACCAAAAAACGTTTTAGAAATCACCAAAAGATAAAGCCATAATTGCAACGTAACAGTGATCATAGGGACTGTGGCCGAATTTTTACAATAAGCTACATAAATAACATGTAACACCAACTCCTTGAGCCATAGCTGGCAATAGCATTCCAGACCCTGGGGGCATCAATAGCAAAGGCCCTTCCTCCAGTTTTTGTACGGCAATAGGGAATGTGAAGCTGGTAAATGAGCGAAGACCTGAGGTCAAATTTGTTCTTTGAAACAGAGAGGAGATCCAGCAGGTAGTCTGCGGATTTTTTTGTAAGTACATCGTGAATAAGTAAGATCTGGTGCACAAGCCGTCGAACATTAAGAGATGTTAAGTTTGACCCAATGTAGAGATCACAGTGGTGAGTCCTATATGGGCAGTTCAATGTAAATCTTAAGGCCGAGTGATAAACGGAATCAAGTTTCTTCAGTACAGTACTTGGGTTTGATTCATACACGATGTCACAGAAGTCGAGTAGAGGCAGTATGGTAGCTTTTATCAATTCCAAACGGAACATTGGGGGGAAGCAGTGCTTGTGTCGATACAGAAAATATTTTTTTCATTTTTGTCTAAAAAACAATATAATCAATGTGATGTTCAAAATTCAGTTTTGAATCCAGGATGACCCCAATATACTTATAGATCTTGACTTGCTCTATTTGATAATTATTTAAGGAATGTAATTGTGGAAAAATAACTTCCTGCTTTAGTCCTGGTGAGAAGCACTTCTTACCCGCCCTTACTGGATATCTGTGAAAAAGAGCTTCATAGCTCATCGGATTCTTCCGGTCTAAACAAAGATTCTGATTCACAACGCCAAACTCGTACACAAAAGCAGTCACCAAGCACCCACGCTTACTCATCGCTCGGGTAAACCACGCTCTGTGGGCACTGCTGAATCATAATAATAATGGTAACCATGATCATCATAACAGCCGTCAAATCAAGAGGGGAAAGTGATTTTTGTTGCTATGCTCCCTGATTTTTAGTAACCTGTGGATTGAAAAATTAGTGGGTGAGTGAGCTGATGAGTGGATGAGTTTGTGAGTGAGTGGACGAATGAGCGGGTGGGTGGTTGTGTGGGTGAGTGTATGAATGAGTTCGTTGGCTAGTGGGTTGGTGGGTGAGTGGGCGAGTGTATCGGTTGTAGTCCTATCAAGAATGCAGCAAGTAGAGTGGAATCTTACGGGTCAAAATGTAAACAACACGTGCTCCCACCCGCTGGCTCTGGAGCTGGACTGATTGGTCCAAGGGTCTCATTCTCATTATCGGAGCGTTCGTTGTAAATCGCTC